TGTTCACTTTCCCTTCTGTGCTCCACCTGGAAATGATCTGTTCAATGTCCATCTGGAAACCCTGTGTTGGCACACACATCTCTTGAAACCAAGTTTGGGCTTTGCATGGAGATTGATTTATGCATGAACCCACAATTGTAGAGAATTTCACCTAAATCTTCTGTAGAAAACTTTGACATTATAGGCTATCTGCTGGTAATCAATTTATTTTAGCAAACTTAGTTGATCACTTAGAAATTATGAAACAAATGATTTAATTAAATCAGCTTCAGTTACAGAAATCATGCTGAGACCTGTCCTTTCCTCTTTTCTGACATACACTAGGCTGGAATTTTACTGAACCCGTTCCAGTCTGTGCTGTACACCTAACTTTTCATGAGGTAGCAGACAGCTTTCCATTACTATTCTGTGAAGAGTATTCACCTTTGACCTCAAACACAACCACTCATAGAATCCTGCTTCTGAGAGGAAACTGTGCTCCTTCTGCAAAAACATTGCAACAATTGATGATTTAACATTCAGAAGTTCTACCACCTTGGTAGAAATAGAATAGAATTTGCCAAATAAGCACAAGTTTTCCATATGCGATGGATGAGGTCTGTTGGATATTTAGGCAAATGAATGTGTAAATACAGATAGAGAAAAGCCAGCCTCCTGCCACTCTGAGGAGGGACGACATACCAGCTGTGCCTCTCATTTCTGTCTCTTTCTGACTGTTCATATCCTATACTAGAGCTAGAAAATGTCTGATCAAATTGGGATGTGAGAAAGGAGCTGTACACCAAACCTGGTGTACTTCCCCAGCCATGGAGATTTGCCCCAAAAATGTGATTCACAGAAGTTGATTTAAAATTCAATAATCATCTTAGATTATTTTAAAAAAGGGTAATATTTTGAAAATAATTGTTATTGGCTGGATTTGAAAGGATTTCAACTTCACCTAGATTCACCAAGAGTTAATATAGCTGGTCAGTGCTCCTCGTAAAAACTGGGAATGTGAATTCTCTTATTTCTCTAGCTTAGCAGCCAGCACACTTGCTTGCATTGTTCCACTGAGGTTATCTTCAATTTTGCATGAGAGAATCTGAACCAGAAACCAGGGTAAAAGCTCTAGCAATTAGACAAGAGAGTATTTTTCCTCAAAACTCTGGGTATAAAAGAATTATCTCTTACAGGAACTGCAGGAATAAGTCTGTGTGTTAATTTCATGTCAAAAGACCACACTTTTTGCAAGCTTTCTCTCATTTCATTAAAGAATGAGAAGTTCTAGCTTATTAGGGAATTCAAGACAAAAAAAACCCACAGTAGATGGTAAATTCAAGTACTTCTAGGGCCAGGGAGGATCATTATGCCAAGACTGATGTGTAACATTACCCTGTCCTAGACCCAGTTCTTTCTCTCTCTTTGATTAAAAGGAAGGATTCAGCCTATTTTTTTTTTTTATTTTTTTAATAGTTATTATTATAATTTTTTACCATTTCTACCATGAAAATATGAAGTATCCAGTATTCCCTTTGCTAGTTTGTGAAAATAGTTAATTTCCTCTCTGGTAAAGAAAGCAAGAGAAATGAAGAATTCTTCTGTCTTTTTCATGTTAGTATTATTGTAATATAATCCACCATGTCTGACTATAAAAGTAGATTGACCATTGTCAACTCTCATTTCTTCACTAGAAGAATAATCATTTTCCTGTTTCAAGGTTTTTTGCTATTTATTAGTCACATTATATGTAGAAATATTTATGTCCTTATATATGACATTATATAAGACATTCTATTTAACATTATATGTAACATTTCTGAATGTGTTCACCACTAAATGTAATGCTCTTGGACACTGAGAACCTGTCAGATCTTCTGCCAAAATTATACCAACCAGGCTCACTGAGAATGAGGTTTTAAGTGCATTTTCCCAATCAGCAATGTAAAATGGTTTCCTCCTCCCTAGATTCCCCTACCCAGTAGCTCAGCAATTAGACTACAGGCTCTTGAGGTAGGTGACAGGAACCAAACGTTCATTGCTGGCCAATGTGTGGAAGTTCTACCCATGAGGCAATACTGCTTTTTGTGCTGACGTGCTCTCAGACTTCCTCTATGATGTAAATATTTTGCACAGGATATGTCTTCTGCTCACCCTTCCTGTCACATGGGACCTGTATACATCCCTGATCCCATTGTGGACAGTAGGTCACATCCTCCAACAATAAAAGGGCATGTCTTTCCTTAGCAGGCAAGGGAGGTATTTACTCTTGTAGTAGCAGCTATGAATTTGATTTCATAATTCATTCATTCTAGCACAAAACAGCTTGCTGGTGTGGTTTACTCTCTGTGTCTCAAGTCCTCCTTGCTATAGCATTCAGCATTTCCAATCTAATGCATTTAATTGCCTGGTAAGGCAACAGGGCCTCCAGTTGCAGTGGAGGGAATCTAAGGCAGAAGGAGCCAAGGTGAGATCTTTGCTTTTACAAAGGAAGTCTGCAGTATGAGAAAGAAATTTTTGGATTAAATGGGATATAATTATACTATAGAATATCTGTCCAAAAGTTCTTGTGTCCCATTTAGCTTTTCCCAAGGCCTGTCGGTGATTCAGATCACAAAAGGAATATTGAAAACCAAAATATTAAAAGCACAAAATGCAGTTAATTGAGGATGCCAGAAAAGCTTTATCTGGATACTTTGTATTGTGTGTGAAAAACAATTGCCTTTTTCACTCTGATTTAACTGAACCCTACAACAGCTTTGTATTGATGCAAGGTCCTGATTACTCAGAGTCTTTTCCTGGCTCACCACAGGTTCCATAATTTGTTCCTGTGAAGTAAAAAAGTGCACATTGTGTTTTGTGTGGAGCTATTACACCACTTTTAAAGTTTTGCTTCTTAACTTGAAGAAATACATTACTCTCCAGAATGGCAACCAGAGGAGTAAGGTTAATATTTCATATAGGTTGCGAAAGGCCTGATTCTCCCTGTTTCTTCTTTACTAGTTTTGTTCTATATACTACAGTTGTTGAACCTGGTAAAGCCAGACTACTTTTTTCTTTGTAGTAAACACAATAATTTTTTTTCACATCTGTCCACTGGCTTCTTCCCATATTTGGACTGATTTTAACATTTGCTACTGGTTTGAGAGCTTTTGACTTCTATACAATAATTATTATATTTTCCCCAATAGGAAAATAAGAAAAATTAACTTTCTGTTATTGTTTTCTAGTTAATTTTGATTTTTCTCTAAGTATTTTTCCTACAGGAAACTTTTGGTATACAGAAGCAGCACTTAGTGAACCCTATCTTTCCTGACATGCAATCAGATAAACCATTGACTGCCCCTTAACTCAGCACTCATGATTTACACTCTCTATTTCACTCCTGCTAATTAACATTAATGTACTAATGAGATGTTTCTTAGCCTGAAACAGAGTCTGCAATAAAGCACTGCCCCATTTCAGTGGTTTGATTCCATATTCTGACTACAGATACAGTCTTGGTGTTGTCACCAAAAAGTTGGCCAAGTTAACTGGAGTTGGGGTAATTAATGGGATGTGTGCAATAATGGATCATAATCAACATCTAAGCACAGTGATGCAAAGATGCTGCAAAAGCAGTGAAAGAGCCGTTAGAAATCTACAAATCTAAAGGGCAACTATTTTTTTTATGGAAACCAAAACCGTCCCTAGAACAAGCCTTGTACAAACACCCACAAAGGAGTGGTCCCCACATAACACTTGTCTTCTACTTAAGTTCATAAATCCTATTGCTTCAGTCTTTGGGGATGATCTTAAAATAAAATTCTTTGTTAATCAAGATATATGATGGGAAGAGTGCATTTCATCCTACAGGTGTTGCAATTTTGAAGCACAAGTCTCTGTGAAGGCAACAGTGTTCTACTAGATGTCGTTTTACAGAAACACTTTTCAGTTAGCTTAGAAAATTGATATCAAATTAAGACATAAAATACAATGTCTCAGACCTGCAAAAAAAAAAAAGTAAAGCAGAAATTAAAACTTATCTGGATGAGTCTTAGCGTTTATATACAGTCTTTTGATAATATTCTTCAGTATTTTTGACAATATCATCCATCCTCACCAAAAAAATTTGAACCTTAAATGAACACAACCTATACAAAAGTTTTGTTTTCAACTGACAGTTTTGAAGGTAATCATATAGTAGACATAGGTCCATGGGTTTTTTTCAATCTCCGTTTCATCAGTCGGATGATTCCCAAATTGCTGATCATCATTCATTAAAACAGAAATGATCAGTAACTGTAGTTCTCTCATCATAGTTAATGTAAACTCTGTCAAATCCAGCTTTCATTTTTAGACTCAGCCAAGTTTTGTCCAATTGATTAACCGCACCCAGTTAATAAGAAAAGGAGTAATTTTATTTAGAAGGCCACAAAACTTTCTCACAGCTTCCTGTAACAATTAACAAATCTACTATAAGAAATATTTCCATAATTGAAATTCTTAATATGTTTGTGATAAGACACAGCTTCAGAAGTTTAGTGGGATGTTGAATTAATTACTTACACTGGTGGTTTAACTTTTGTGTCCGTTACAGAGTTAGTATTTGGGAAGAGCATTTTCCAGATCATTTAGAGGGAAATTCTATAGGAGACAAAAAGATCTGGATCTGCATATGATACCTAGTATCATACAGTCTGTATCATAAACATTATCTGCTGGACAGTTGCAAAGTTTGGTATAATTATAAATTAATAGATAGACTACTAGTAGTAGGAGTAAGCTAAGATTATTTGTCAAGGATCAAAACTAAGGTAGTGGTTTCCAATAGATCCTAAATTTGGCATGCCTTTCTTTTTAGTTACTGACATTTTCCCAACTTTTACTGGTTAACCAATGCCAACAAAAGTTTTGAAAGGGGGGTGAAGTCTCAAAGAAGCTTCTATTTTTTGGGTACATTTGTTCTGTATTTTGGTTACATGCATAGCCTCCACTTCTGGGTAACTGACTTAATCCTTTTGGTTTTATTCTAGTGCCTCCTCTGACTCTCCTTGGACATCCCTGGAAAGCTAGAAGGCAACCTGTTCCCACCAGGAAGCCTGATCTTTCTCCCAACTGGAGCACAACAATGAAGCACACAAAAATTGCAAACAGCTGATTGTTAAGAGGACTCAATGCTAATTGCTGCCTGTCAGAAGAAATGGGTGTCTGGTTGGGTAAGTTATCTTTCAACCTTTGTTTGAAATGTATATGTTACATATCATTCTTCTCTACTGGTGCAGTGGTTGCACAGGTCCTCCACAAAGATTCAGTCTCAGCAAGAAGACAGCAAGTTAAAAACAGTGTCCTAATGCAAACACTGTGGGCTAATGGTTAATGGCTCATTAGGATGTAAAATCAAGGTCAGGCACATGACAAATATCTAATGTGAACACCCTGTGTTGCCACATAGACAACACATACATAGATAATATATACATATTATATGTGTATATATTGCTACATTATATTATATACATTTCTTCATAGGTGTGTTCAAAAATTTTATTATTTCAGATGAATAGATTGATTCTGAAGCAAATAGTTGAAAATTATCCAAACTGGTTAATTTCAGTGAGATATCCTATTAGCCAGAGCAATCTGAATTCCTTGAATATAAAACTAAAGGAGAAGATATGTTCCAAAGATCACACCTAATAACACCTAAACGAAATTCAATTAATGAGTTCAGATTAAAACTGGTTTGAAATCAATATTCACGAAACCCATGGTCAGGGTATGGATCCTTGGCAGATATTTTCTAATAAGGTCACATTAGAGGTAAAAGTAAACATGCAGTGACTAAGCCAGAAATACCTTTTTGAACTAGGATCATAGAATGGTTTGGGTTGGAAGGGACTTTTAAAGGTCATTTATCCGAGCCCCCTGCAATGAGCAGAGGCATCTTCAACTAGATCATGTTGCTCAGAGCCCCATCCAACCTGACCCTGAATGTTTCCAAGGGGGGAGCATCCATCAGCTCTCTGGACTATCTGTTCCAATGTTTCACTATCCTCATTAATAAAAAAAATTCCTTCTTTTATCTAGTCTGATATACCCTCTTTTATTTGTAAACCATTACAACTCATCCTATCACTTCAGGCCATGCTAAAAAGTCTGCCCTCATTTCTTATAAATCCCCTTTAGGAACTGGGAGGCTGTTGCAAGTTCTCCCCAGAACCCACCCTTCTCAAGGCAGGACAGCCCCAGCCGGCTCAGTATTTCATCACAAGAGATCATCTCATGGTCCTACTCCAGACCTGCTCCAACAGGTCTATGTCTTTCTTGGACTGAGGACTCCAGAGCTGGATGCAGTACTCCAGGAACTAACCACTGGGAAGAAGGAGGGGGAGGAACATCATCTCCCTCAACCTGATGGATACACTTCTTTTGGTGCATTCAGGATACAGTTGGTTTTCTGAGGTGCAAATTACATTGCCAGCCCAAGTCCAGTTTTTCATCTGCATGTCCCTACAAGTCCTACTTTGCAGGGTTGCTCTCATTCACTTTATCCCTCAGCCTATATTCATACTGGAGGTTGCTTGACCTGTGTTCAGGGCCTTGCACTTTACCTTGTTGATCCTCAGGTACACATGTGCCCACTTCTTGGTCTTGCCCAGGTCCCTGTGGATGGCCTTGCATCCCTCAGGTGAATCAGCCACACCACTCAGCTTGGTGTCTGCAAACTTGTTGAGGGTGCACTCAATCCCACTCTCTGTGTCACTGATGAACATATTAGACAGTACTGGTCCCAAAACAACTCCCCAAAGAACACCTCTCATCATTTTTGTTCACCTGAACATTGAGTGATTGAGCACCAATCCCCATATGTGACAACATGAGGTACATCTTTGGCCCCTCAATATTTCTTTCCTCAAAGCCCCTTTCTACTCTTATAAGAAAAGCTAAGGAATTGTTGTTTGTGTCTGTAGACAGGCAACCCAGTATATACATTAAAAAGAATAAATATTTGTCTCTGTACATAGTGTATGTGGATAACTTAAAGCACGTTCCTAATCAGTCTTTTTCAATAATAATAAAAAAAATGCTGATGATCCAATTACTTCAGTATAAGCTTCAATTCATATTGTTATGCTGAGCCTGTCATTAACAGCTCATTACAACAACTTTCATGTCAAATTCCTGATAGATCTGGAAAGGGAGTTCACATCAGCAAATATTAATCATGCAAGTGAGAGTTGCAGAGTAAACCGGGAAGGAAATTCAGCAGTTGCACCTTTCAGTTTTCATACCCCCAATAACTAGCTATACACAATTGCGTTATCTTGACACACTGCATTTAATGATACAGTATTTCACAGGAGGTTTACATGCCTGTTCACAACCACTATGAAATGCCCCTTCACAACCACTATGAAATATCAACTCCACGTGTTTCAATCAGGCCATATACTGTTGAAACATGCATAGAAAAAAAGGTCTATAATAATGTATTCCTGGGACGCTGAAAAGCACTTCTGGATTTAAAGGGATGTGTCTACAAGACAACAGGCAAGTACTTATGCCTTCAAAATTATAGCACATTTAAGGCAAAAACCAGTCTGTTAGGAGGGACAGTCTTTAGACTGTAGTAATCGTACCAACAAGATCTCTCAGACTTTAAATCATTCAGAAAAAGCATAGACTTTAATCATTTTTATCAGGAAAAAAATAAAAACAACAGCTTCCTTTTATGATTGGTTACATCAGCTGTCTAGATTTATTAAGACACTAATACAGTCATAGCAAGCAAAGCAGAGAAAAGATGATAGAGGGAGTACAGCTGTAGATTGTGTCTGTCTGAAACTACCAAGTTCTTCCTGAAAATCTGTGTGTCCTTCAAGATCACTCTGTCATCCAGAAAGCATTATGTGTGCCTTTCTGTGTACAAGAAAATGGTTAGAAAAGCCAAAAAAATATTTGAGGCAGGCAACCTTTCTATATATTTAAGGCCATCCATCACTGGCTTTAGGAAGAAACAAACCCACACTATTTTGGACAATGTTTTTGTGTTTTAAAGAAGCGGATGAGAGAGGGGTGAAAACTTAGACTCTACCTGTCTGAACTGTAGGAGAGGACAGAGAACGAGGAAAGAAAGACCAGAAGGACACTGGGGACCTTGAACTCATTACTCTGGCTTCTAATTTGTGTACATCTTGTGGTGTATGTCAAGAGGATGAGATTGGCATTTATTTCTTTAATCAGCAGGGTTACCCTGTGACGTCCCCTCAAATGAAGAATATAATCTCCATGGAGCAAAACAAAAGCCAGTGAACTTCCTGCCAAGAACCAGACAAGGAGAAATGGTTTCTGGGCCTTCCTCTTTGGGACATAAGCCAGGTGAAACATTTTAGGATTTCTCCACCATTTGCATAAACACATCTTTTGTTTTCTTAATCATAAGAGGCTGAGTGTGTTTTTTCTGTACTTTTGTGTTTCTCTGCTGGTTAGGAAAATAAATTGCCATTGCTTTACATACCTTGGTTGTTCAGCTTTAGGATTTGTTTTCTGAGAGCATGGTAATAATCATAGCATTTTCTCACCACTATTATATTGCACAAGTGCAGCCAAATTTTACGGTTGCAGAAAGCATTAACAGGCCAGGCCAAGAGGCACTTTTGACTTTGATTTAATATGAAATTTTACGTTGCATCCCCATCTCTTTGTATCATTACTATAATTATTTGACATGTTTTATTTTTCACACTGACTGCAGAAAGGTACTCTCCATGGCCCCCAACTCAGACCCAGGGAGGCCAGTCAATCAACAACATGTATGTGCAAGATGCAGTATTGTTAACTGTATTTCACAAATCTTAGCTATGCAGATCCACCCTAAACTCGTTCTTGTCTCTTGCTAGTATTTTCTTCTCTTTTTTCCCTACTAGTTTTCAAATTATTTCCTTTTTAAAACTCAGTCAATTATTTATAGAAGAATACAGAGGGCACAACACTTAACATATCGAACAAGGACAGATTCCCTGCTTAGAGCAACTTTGAACGTCAGGGTTCAGTCATGCTGTGTAGGCACAACTGAGATTATCTTGCTTTGACAAGATAAAATTGCTCTAGAGCTTCAAGGCACAGAAAAGGACAACACCCTACTCTACCTTCCTTTTGGAAATTCCAGGCTGTTTCATCACTGCAGCTGACCTATTCTTTGTAAGATAAAGAAAACAGTTTATTCTTCCCCTCTTCCTATCCCACATAAATCCTTCACTAATCCTATTGGAACAGTTTTTCCCTATGATAGAAAACATAAGGTGAATTTTTTTTAATGGAAACCAGATATTATGGGGACCTGTTATGAGCAGTCACCACTCAGACACATGTGAAGGCCACAGCTCTTCTTCCTGCATGACTCCTAAGAAAGTACAAGGTGCTGAAAGTTAAGGAAAACCTACTAAACCATCATAAATACAGCAACACCATCTCTTTCTTTAGAGCTATATAATGGGAGATACTTCCTAATTTAACTTTTGTGCCATTTAGGAGAGTGAGTTACACAGATCTCATAACAAGAACAAAGAAAAGGCAAAGCTGGAACTGAAGAATGAAGACTGGTAGACGGTGAAGTTTACCCTCCAGTGGTTCTGATACATGCAAAGCTCTGGCTTGGAAGAAAAATAGAATTCTCACCTAGTGAATAGAAATGTCATGGTAAGAGGAGATTGGGGAGAGGGTTCCAGACATACTAGTAATGAGTCTTTAACAAGGAGACCTTTGTAAATTGTGCCTCACCACAGACTAATCTGAGATGATGTTTGAGGAAAAAATATTGATTACACACATAGGTATGCAGAAAAGAGCTTAGTTTCTAAAGAAAACCTACCAGCTTCTTTCTGACTACAACATGATGTAAATACCATACTGCATCTCTAGAGGATATGTTCAGCCAATGCCCAATATGGCACTAAGAGAATCTAATTTATTATTGTTGCTATTTCTATTAGAGTAATTCCACTGGGAATTAAAAAAAAAAAAAAAAAACAACAAAAAAACCTGCAAATTGAAGGATTTTTTTCTGCTTTTCTCTTGTTAAAGCTTAGTGCAAGTCACAACTCCAGAGAAACCATCTGGGATTTTAGACATATTGACTTGTCAGTCCTTCTGCATGAGAAATTGAAGTTCTGGTACAAATAGTTTTTCTCCATTTCCTATCTGGATAACTTATCATTATGCATGAATTCTGAGCATTAATTTTTTATTTGTTTATTATGATACCAGGTATCTCACATGAGGCAAAGGACTATATACAGAACATTGGAGAGCAGTGCAAAATTTAGAGGTTTTAAATCCATGAGAATAAGTTATTACCTTTTCTTTGATGGTTAAGGTGCTAAATAAATGCTAAATAAAAACAGAACACTTCTCTTAACAAAAATTTTAATTTACTAAGTTTTTTTGTAAAAATAGATATTTCCCTTCATGGTGGGAAAGAGAATCTAGTCAGCTAAAAATATTCAGTGATTTGTGAGAAGCTACAGAAGAGTAGAAATTCAAACTATGTTTTCATAATTTTTTGCAAATGTTACATTTTTCTAATTCAGCCTGAATTTTCAAAACATTTAGTCTTCTCAAAATGTATTTTTGACTCACCATAGCTCCTAAAAACACAGGTAGTTCTCTTCTGTATCCCTATATAAAATTGAATAATAATCTGGTCAATGTGTAATTATTTTTTTGAATGCTGGTGGAATTGAACATATCATGTCAAAGAACTCCTCTCCCTAGACTACCAACTTTGCAAATTATTTTATAAGTGCTGAAGACTAAACAAAAATGATCCAACAGGGTTTTCTGCCTCTAATGGGAAATTCCTCAGTCATTAAACAGCATGGATAAATATTAAGCACTAGGAAAAGAATTCGGCACTCATGATCCTCATAAACTTTAAAATAGGGATTTCTTGAGCTCTGAATCCCTGGCTGTGTTGGTGTAGCTCAATAGAATTTAAACTTCTTTCAAAATGACAAATAATGGGTGCACATGTTGTACAGAAGCACAGGGATTTTTTTTATACGGGCCTTGTAAAGTTTGCTGTTGACTGTATCTAAACCTGGAGCAACTTCTCAGTGTTAGCATCTAATCTATGTTTCAGCCACAGCTGAGATTCTTCAGGGGTCATCCAAATTTTTTCCCTTTGTCTGCTGCAAGATGCATTTTCATGTAAACCTATTCAGCTAACATAGACATTTCTTAATTCCTTCCATAACCCACAGCTTTTGATACAAAACAAACACACAGTAAAAGATTGCAGTTTCATTAAGGCTTCACTGGCAATAATTGTGTAAGCCACAGGCTGCAAGAAGGGAATTGTCGTGGTTTTAAACCAATAACTAAGAAAATTACTTACTTCTTGCTGTGAGATATGGATCAGAACAAGAGCAAAACAGGCATAAAACTTAAAAGGGAAAAAAAGAAAGTTTATTGACAAACTACAATAATAAGAACACCAGAATAAACTTCTAGAAAAACCTTTTCATCCCCTATTTACTCACTATTCCCTTGTTCACATGACAACAGAGACAAAAACTTTGGAACTTTGATGGTTAAAACAGTCCCAATTCTTGCTACAGTCCTTTCACCAGTCTTTGTAGAGAAACAGAAGTTTCTTCCTGTTAATTTATGGAGTTTCTAACAAGAAAACTATTTTTGTTATAGTTTTCCATTGCCCTAATGTTAGCTGCCCAGAGCTGCTATTATTAGAGCCCACTCCTCCCATTTTCACATCACTCTGAAGTGTGTATGGGCCATGAGTCTAGGGATAGCATTTTTAAGGATAAGTTATTCAAAGGCAAAAAAAGTCTTCTTCATCTGTTTCTGTGAGCTTCACCAGAAAACAGTTTTCTCATTGCCTCTCAAGGCTTCAAATCTCCCAGCAGTTCACTATACCATAATTACTCTACTTTTTACTCAAATTTACACTTTGAACACTTTATTCCTCTCTAGATCCTGTATCATGAATTAAAGGAGTTCTTTTCAGGACTTCATTGTCCATCTCCATAGTTTTAACAGGGAGATATTTCAGCTTAATTTAAAGCATCTTCTTAATTCTCTACCTTTCCTGAAGCTTCTTTTCTTTCCTGACACTGGTAGTTTATAAAGTCTCTTTTCATGTTGATCACTCTCTTTTTCTCTCTCTGGATAAAAAGATTAATCCCCAAGTCACATCTGGGTAATGAAAGAGTTCAAATCTTGCCCAGGCTTTTGTAGATGGTTCGGAGATCTCTGCCGAACAGGAGCTGGACCCGTCTGTGATGGAAAGTTCCTCATGGCTGCTCTGGAGCGTGTAGTCGCTGCTCCAGCCCGCTGCAAGTCCAGGGCCTCTCTCCTTCTTCACTCGGCAGTTTCTAGTGAATGTAGTTACAGCAAAACCTGCAGCTGAGCCAGAGATCGGCTCGGCTCGGCCCGGGCCTGGGGAAAACCTTCCCCAGGCCCCCCCATCTCCCGGCCGGGAGACGCAGCAGGCCCGGCCCCATCCCCACCCGGCCACATGGCCTGGGCAGGGACGGGAGGCCTGGAGCTCCACCACTCTCCACAGCCAGGAAACAAAGAGAACCCAGAGAGCTCTGCTTTTACACTTTAAGGTAGGGTTCACAAGTTGATCCCACTTTTCAATGGCCTAAACTGCTGTCAATTCCCAGCAATGACCGATAATTGGTCAGGAGAAAAGACTCCAAGCACTTCCCAGCAACTCCAGCTCCCTTAAAGGTAAAGTAACTCCATGACATCACTTTAAGATACAATGTCAGTTTCGTATTTAGGAACTTAATGTAATATTATTAATAAAATATCCAATTCTAATCCCTGAAAAATATATGCTTGCCCATCCTAATGGTTGGTTTAGCTATGGAATTTCTTCTTCATCTCCAGTGCTTTCATGCTTCAGGGCTGTAAATTAAGAAGGATAAAATATCTTATCAGATGAACTAGCTAATATTTCAGTTTGTAGTAGAAATATCTTGTATTTGTGCTTTAATATGGCAAAAAAGAAGTGGACATAGGCAACAAGATGTCAGCTGACTGGTACTATATGTCAGAGTCAATGTTCCTTCTCTTTTTTCTTCTGCACATTATCTGTGGTACTTATTCCATTCCCCAGCTTCTTAATCTAAAGATGAGGTTGATAATTGATTACACATTTCAAACGTCCATGTATCTCATGTAGTTCAGAATACATTGCACATGGAGTCCATTTTAAAGTTGAAGATATATTGCAAGTTGCATGAGGCATTCTGGTTCATTTCATGCAGCATCTGCATTGTTGAAACCTGCAAAGTCATCTGATTGAAGATTACTGTGGAGGGAAAATTGTTGATTTACATGAGGGATATTTTCACCAGGGCTTAAGAAAAGGCTTTATATTGCTTGAGAAAACAGTGTTTTGAGAAAACAGCTGAAGCTCACATACTTCTAACAGATTAATTTACAATGGCTTCTCCATTATAAATGCTGCTTCCAATTTTTAGGTGGCTTGTATTTTTTTTTAAGCTTTAAAATCTGAAGAGGATGACTACTATATTAATGGTGCCTGGACTATTGACTGGCCAAGAAAGTTTGATGTTGCTGGAACAGCTTTCCATTACAAGAGGCCAACAGATGAACCAGAATCTTTGGAAGCACTAGGCCCTACTTCAGAAAACCTCATAGTCATGGTAAAGTTATAATAAATATATTTCTGTAATTTGAAATATGTGTTTATATTCTGAGAAAAGACAATGCCATGAATGAAATTAAAATAGGTTGAGTTTGCAAACAATACACAGTTTGTGTAGCTGGCACTTTGTGTGTGTTTTAACACACAGTTCCTACATTTAAAAACTGACTGGCAAAGAGTGATGAAATGGGGATAAAGTCCAAAGAGCACCAGGAAATCTCACAGAAACTGAACCACATCTCTTTAAATGTGGTTCACAGTAATAGTAGTGAAAACTGTGAAGGGACCGTGTATCATATCTCTGCATAGTGCTGATGCTTGACAGTCCCTGACAGTTCTGCACATTTCAGTAGTTTTAAGCCTGGCCTGAATGTGACATTTATACATACCTTTACCACAGAATGAGTATAATGGTATTTCCCATATTAAAGTGGCATTTCCCATGTTACTGTGACATACATTTCTCTCAAAAGATTTTGTAAAGTATGAGAATGTAACAGAAGTATGACCAGGATCCTGATGCCATCTGTGACAATAGGTAATCATGAGCCTGCTATTTCACTACTGTGTTGAGGAGAAGTATGAGAACAAGTCGATATTTTCCCAGTGTATTCTGTCATCTGCCAGGTCTGCAGTTCAGTGGTTGCTTGAGCCACATAGGTATATTTTTTTAGAGAATAATTTTTGCATGGATATCCACATTTTAGGCAGCATTTTCAGACACTTGATTAATCTTTTTTTCTTCTGTAACTGTGCATAGGCTAGACAGTCTGTACAGAAAAGGTTACACAATTATAGTGCCTTCTTTCATTCAGTCTGTGTCACTGACTTTCTGAAAGTCCTCTGCTCTTTTGCCTTGTGGAGGTAGACAGATGTGCTTCTGCAAAATATAGGAGAAAGTAGAAATGGATGAAAAGTAGCTCTAAGGTGAGTCAGATTTCTGCATCTAACTTGAAGATGTGCTATTAGCAATGAAAAAATAAGTTTGATAGAGAATCAAAGGCTAGTGTTAGACAGGTTATCTGTGTAAGTGCAGTTCAGCACTGAGGATAGACAAAAATTCTTGCTGATGGTTGCAGTTTTGTCTATGTTGCCTGCAGTGATGTGGCTGCAATGAAAGTTTTGTTATTCTTTTAAAGGAATCACAAGTGTGATTCCATCAAGCTTATGCTGTTGGCTGTTGCATTAAGGGAAAACAATGGCCTCAGCAACATTTTGTTGGTGTTACTATTATTACTAGAAGTAATGTACTGTACTGTAGTCACTAGAAGTGCTAACAAAGGAAGAGATAAGTTCAAAACTCTGTGGATTGTACTCCTCACAAGACTTCAGTTAGAACTGCTGCATGTTTTTACAGTAATGTGCTTTTCCAACTTTGACCTCCCATAATTATTCAGCTCCCAATTAAATTTCCATGAAGACATTAATTTTATGAAAACTAGCAAAATTTATAAAATTCATGGAATGAGCAAAATTATGAAATTTTGTCAGGAATAAGGAACTGACTGAAATAATAAAGTTCAGTTAAGGGAGAAAATAATGATAAAGCTCACCTTGGACAAAAAAGTAATATTTAAAATAATATTAAAGTAATATTTTTATTATGTACATGTTTTAAAAGATTATGTTGGGAAATATCTAAAAAGAACTATTTTTAGTAATAGTATATAGTAATATAGTAATATAGTTATTATATAGTAATAGTAATATAGTTGTATATATGGTAATAGTTTACTTTTAGACTTCCTTTATTACTTTTTTCCCATTTAGCAGAACATAACACATGCCTTGAATAAATGTTGCTGTGTTTGCCGTCTGCTTGCCTGCTTTAATGGTATAACCAGTTATTTTCAACTACAGATACTGCTGCAGGAACAGAATTTGGGGATAAAGTATAAATTCAATGTTCCGATCTCTCGCACTGGCAGTGGAGACAATGAGGTTGGCTTTGCATGGAATCATCTGCCTTGGTCAGAATGTTCTGCCACTTGTGCAGGAGGTAAGACACCAGACAGTCAAGCTACAGGGTAAACTGAATTGCAAGATAAAATGAAATATGTGTAATTATCTAGGTGACTAATTAAAAATGTTTCTTTCAGGTGTGCCTCAGACCTTAATGAACATTTACTTTAATCACAGTGGATTTTGTTGTTTACAAGTACCTTTAATATGTTCAGATTTTTTTGTTAAATACAGTGTATGTTGGCACAGTGTCTCTCTCTGCTGATACTTCTGAGACTCTCTTGAAGCTGGTATGTTTGTTTTTCCCAGAAACCTTGTTGATAAAGGATATCTGAAGTTAAAAGTAAGGTGATTAAAAACAAGAAGGCAAAATAGGCATCTGTAAATAAAGAGATGTGTCTTTGTGTATTTGTAGGTGTGCTTCACACAATCCTAGTCAGCCCTCCTATCCTCCAGCCACCAAAGTTTAGGATGCACACTGGCAGCTTCTCTGTAGAAGATAACAATTGGATTTTACTTGCCAGCCCGTAGCAGTATGTGAGAATTGTTGCCCTTGGGCAGCAGTGGGGGATTTGTAGATTGTCCCATGCGGTTCATCATGGGTGGCTTTTGCCGACAACTTATTATATTCCTAATCCTCCCTCTAGTGGCCACCAATGCAATTCTTTACCTCTGGCTGGGAGAGCAGGACAGTTGGCTTCCTTCAAAGCCAACACCATTGCTGCTGCAAGAACTGGTGAGTAGAAGTGCTGTGTGAACAGTATCTTTCTTCTCTCTGGAGACTGAATGAATCATCTCCCCAACATACCTCTGTTCCAGAAGAAATGGGAGAGTGCTTTAAATGCATCTCAGAATGTCAGTTTCTACAGCATTGTGGACAACCTTTATCAAGAAGAAGACACCATATTTTTTAAAAGAACCTTTGGACCAGATACTTGTTGCTTTCTTGTTTTTTCTTTCTATGGGAGGTATTCATCATGGCTCACCTTTCTGCTGGAAGCTGCTGTGGCTGGTACTAGTTGTACACAGTTTAAATACAGCCTTAGCCATACAGAATACACAAAGAATAGCATAAATTCTTTTCTGTGCCACTAGAGAAAGTCTTGAAACAAAATAAAGGAGGATGCCAACTTTCTCCAATATTTTCATTATTCATTTGCTGGATTCTTGGATGACTGATTGATTTTTAAATACAATTTTAGTAATGGTAAGTGTGGCAGGGAAAAAACCATTTTAAATGAAAAGTGTAAAGAAATGCCTAACTTTTACTAGAGAAAGTAAGTTCCAATTAGCAGAACCTTAAAGGTATTGTCAGATCCTCTTTTTTTTGTGATGTTAGTGAGCTAATCTTTCTTAATCTCTCTGAATTCCTGGGAAAATTCCCATTGATTTAGGTATAATATAATATAATAGCGATGGATATTCTGTCACAAAGGTCATTGCCATTTCACACGTTTGATGAAATACAGTGGAAAAAATAATTGGCACTGAAGCAGTAGGCACTTGCTGAGATTAAAAAAATTTGGGTGTAATTAATTAGATTTCAAGGGAAGATTTGTGAATCCCTAAAAGTAGCATATATTTATTAATTTAAACTTAGAGGAGGTGGAGGAGAGATTTTCTTGGGTTGCTTATGGTGGCTGACCAAGGCATTTTCTCCCCTTTTTTTCAGCTTAATAAAAGGATGTATTGTGGTCACTTATTTTTGCTGAGCACTGTACTCATAAACATATATTTCACTGTAGCTATAATTCATGTTAAAGCATGTGTCTGCTTTCTCCATGAGAGAACTTGGTATTTCTCACAGTTTATGAAACACCTTTCACCATATGCCAAAAGAAGACACTATTCTAAAGAGGAGTTGAGTCAGGAAAAAAAAAAAAAAAGGGAGACATAACTTGAAGAGAAAGAGACTTTAACTGGAGAATTTAGCTAATATAAATATTCTATTAAATAGAGACTAATTGACCAGGGACCATTTTAACATACTACCTTATGTCCACTCAACACTGCTTAAGTCTAGTTCTTTCTAAATCAGTTTATCTGTATCTGCATTGCTTAATGACTGAGTGACTTAAGCATTTCTTAATTGCTAATTGACTCGTAAAACATGGGTATCACTTGATGTAGTAACCAAAGTGAACTTAAGCATATGTGTTGAATGTCATGAAGCAGAGCATAAAGACAATGTGACACTGCAGAGTTTAAATAGTTCTGGAGTGTTGTATATAGCAAAAGTGTCTGATTTTTTGTGCTGTTTCTTCTTCATAATGTTTTGAGAGCAATCTACTGCATTCAGCTCTTCCTAGACCTGCTAGTATGCCTTATATTGGAGAGGAGTGACTAGAACAGTCAAGGAACAAGTTAAGAGCAAGCTGGGAGAAACCTACAATCTTTGACTGAATAGAAAAGACGTGCTGTCTTTTCCACTGGACGTCTATACTGTGTTCATCTCTGCTGTGCTGAGAAGTCATATCAGAACAGTAAAACACTTGAACTTTTCAAATAGGACCTCTATTCTAGGGCCTGTCTTGACTTCGAAGAATAGGAAGAGCACAGTAAGTGGAATCATAGGAAGGAGAAGAAAGGTTTTTTATTTATGACAGTTCAATACAATGCCAGAGCTCTGGATTCTGTTCCTGTGTCCTCTGTGTCTTTCTCACAGTTTTGAGGAACTCAAAGCATATATGTTTTTTAATTACTTGCTAATTATGAGTTGATTATTGTATGAGTGGCCCTCTGGAATTTCTGACCTCTGAAGCATTCAAGGAATTTAATTGTCTCATGTGAAAACTCATCTAGGCACCTGAAATCAATGGGCTTTTCACAGTAGACATTGTACCTCCTGTCCCCCTGTGTTCTCAATAGAAAGATCTAGGAGGTAAGTTAGAGCTCATGGAAGAAACACATTTAGATTGCTTCTAAAATGCAGAACAAAGTCTTATATGAGAGGCAGTCTTGGCTGCAGTGACCATGAGAGTGTAGAGTTCTGTATTGAAGTAAGAGGTACTGGGACAGCAAGAAAGATTATTACCATGTAATTTAGGAGAGCTAACTTTAGCCTCATTAGGGATCTTTTTGGAGGAATCCTGTGTGAACAGGCCCTGCAGGGCAGAGGCACCCAGTAGGGTGGATTGATATTCAAGGATCATTTACTCCAGGCTCAGGAACGATGCACCACAATGAGAAAGAAATTGGGCCAATGGGGCAAGAGACCTCTGTGGATGGATGAATCAAGGCTACTGTCATGATTCAAGTATAAGCAGGAAATGCACAGGAGATCAAAACAGGGTCAGGCCACCTGAAGTGAATATAGAGAGGTGGTCAGGGTAAATGCAAAAGAGACTATAATGAGCAGTGCCCAGATAGACTTAAACTTGACTAAGGATGTCAAGCATAATAAAAAAGGTCTTTTCAAATACATCAATTTAAAAAAAAAAAAAAAAAAAAAAAAGGATAATGTGGGCTTATTATTAAATGGAGATGGGACATCAGTCCTTGCTGACAAGACCAGGCCTCAGGGATCCCTGACTGAGGATCAGGGTGAAGGAATGTTGGAAGGAAGAAGTTTCCTTTGTGAAGGAGGATTTGATCTGAAACAACTAGACAGACCTACTCAAATCCATGGGCCCTGATGGGATGGCTCCACTAGTGATAAGAGAGCTGGTACATCCACTAGTGATGAGAGAGCCATAACAAGACTGCTCATGATCACCTTTGAAAGATCATGATGATCAGGAGGGATGCTGAGGACTGGAAGAAAGGAAATGTCACCCCAGTTTTCAAAAAGGGCAAGAAATAGGACCCAGGGAACTATGTTCCAGAATCCCTGGGAAGGTGATGGAGCATCTAATTTTGGAGGCCATCTATGTCCTTAGGAAAGACAAGAAGGTGATCAGGAATAGTCAGCATGGCTTCACTAAAGATAATCAGGTGTTTGATTGCCTTCTACAATGAAACAGCTACCTGGATGGATGAGGGGACAGCAGTAGGTATTGTCTGCATCAGCAAGGCTTTCAGTACCCTTTCACAACATTCTCATAGGCAAAATCAGGAGGTGTAGGCTGGATGAACAGCCAATGAGGTGGATGGCAGATCCCAGAGATTCATCATAGGTGGCAGAGGGTTTAGTTAGAGGCCTAGCACTGGTGGTGTTACCCAAAGTTCAATACTGGGCCCAGTTTTGTTTAACTTATTCATCAATGACTTTGAAGGGCAGATGCCTCCTCAGCAATTTCGTTGAGGACTCAGAGCTGGGAGCAGTGGCTGATACCCCAGAGTGCTGTGCAGCCCTTCAAAAGGATCTCAGTGTGTTGCAGAGATGGACAAAGAAGAGCCATCTGAAGTTCAGCAAAGGCAAATGAAGGGTCCTGCACCTGGGAAGGAACAATCCCAGGCACCATCACAGCCTTGAGCTGATGCTCAGAGCTGCTGGGGAGCAGCTCTGTGGACAAGGACCTGGAGGTCCTGGTGGACAGCAAGCTGTCCATGGGCCAGCAGCATGCCCTGGTGGTCAAGAAGGCCAGTGGGATCCTGGGGAGCATTAGGAAGAGCATTGCCAGCAGGTCATGGAAAATGATCCTGCCCCGGTACTCATCCCTGGTGAGGCCTCACCTGGGGTGTTGTGTCCAGTTCTGGACTCCTCAGGACAAGGGAGATGGAACTTGGAACTCCTGAAGGATGCTGTCAAAAGGATGGATCCAAGCTATTCTCAGTGATGCCAATCAATGGGACAAGAAGCAATGGAACAAAAGGCATAAACTCTTGCACAAGAAGTTCCACTTGGAGTTGAGGAAGAACTTAATTGTGCAGGTGACCGTGCACTGGAACAAGTTGCCTGGAGAGGTTGTGTATTCTCCTTCACTGCAGATATTCAAGAAGTGTCTGGACACAATCCTGTGCCATGTGTTCCAGGATGACTCTGCTTGACCAGGGAGTTTGAGCCAGATAACCCACTGCAGTCCCTTCCAACCTGACACACTCTTTGAGAGATTGTAAACTGTGTATTTTGTAGTGTCAGTTATGTTAAAGGAGAAAAGTACACGTAGTTTTTCTGCCACTGACCTAAATATTCACTGTACAGGGAATCAAGAAGAAGCAGCCAAATCTCTAAAGTCTGAGGTGTTGATATTTTCAATTTTTTTTCCAAAAAAGTAGTTCTTCAGACTTAACAGTAAAAAAGGCTTTTCTGATGGTAGGCAGGTCTTATTGATCTAGGATTCCTATGCTCATATGTAGGACGAGAATATAATTTCATTGATTTTTAATATCAGCATTTTTCTTAGTCCTGGGGATCCAGAATTGCAGCTCTTCTTTTTGTACACTAGAACCTATGTTTTCTGTATTGGAAAATTTTCCTTTATGATACAAATTTATAGTATCTGAGCTAGTTCTTTTTTTCTGGGAATATTATGTAAAGCTGATCTACGTGTATGCTTCATATTAATTTCCTTTTTTCCTGAAAATACACTAATAACTCTTCTCTTCTGAGGCAAGGTTTTTCAGAAGAAAAGTTTGCTATTTTCTCATATAGGTAGGTCTTTATAGCCAGTGGCAAACTTGGACAAGACTGTGTGAAAGCAATGCCATAGAATACTGGAATGTACAGTGCTAAGTTATCTATAGAGAGAGGAGTGGGAAAGGAGAGAACACATGGAAATTAGAAAAAGATTAATGGTATCAACAGAAGATTCTCTTTAAGGATCTGAATATTATTTATTGAGAAACAGAGAAAATGAAAAGTAAGATACGTAGAAATAAGAAATGAAACAATACAATAAATTCTGAAAAGTGAAAGGGAAGTTGTATCACTTGCAGATCACAGGATTATATTTTATTAACTCTCGGGAGTGTCTTTCCTTATATCTTGTAACTTTACAAAAGAAAGTGTATTACTCTGTTCAGATCCACCAGTCTTCTTAATAAGGCAGTGAGCTTCTGGTGTTTAAAAAAAATGTTTAAATTTTTAATTAATTAATTTTGTAATTAATTAAATTGTTTAATTAATTCAAACAATTTAAATTGTTTAAATTGTTTAAAAAATACAGCAAAGGAAATAAGTCCTTCTTCATGTTTTTTTAAAATATTTTATGCATTTCAAAATAACTCAAATAACTGCCTTCTCCCTTTTAAATTTCTTTCATGCTTAATTATGGCAACAAATGACAGCATTTATTATGTGGAATTTGCCAGTAATTCTAAGAATTGGTTAGGAGTTCATTCATTCTATTACAGTTCATCTCCAAATGAACAGATTAAATGTTTTAGATATTCATGGGGGTTTTTATAAAATAGTCAGCATACTATGATTATCATAAGTAAATTGAGTACTTTTCTTCCATTTTCTTTGCTGCTCATAATCCAAGTAGAGTGATGCCTACTATATTTTTCTTTCACGCCCTCAGATGAATTATGAAGCTGTCTTTAGGCAAATAAAATATACTTTTCCTCATCAAAGAAAATATAAGTTTGGATCTGAGATTAACATCTTGTGATCTGATGAGTGAGCTCAGAAAGTATGTCTGGGTTAACCAGAATGCACTAGTCTTAGTGATGCAAGATTCACTATGTATTGGTCCTGGCATCTTTATAATTAACTGTTGCAATCACAAGCCACAGTTTTTGAGATTGCTTTTAAAAATAGATACAGCATTTACATGCCTGCAATTTAAATTCAAGAATAAAATGTGCTCCATGTAATTTAAAATTTGGCTGCTGAAAGTCATACAGACTATTTGTGAACTGAAATCTGCAAAGCATTTCAGTTCTCTGGAGATCATGGTCACTGAACCACTTTTGTTTTCTATTAGGATTGCATTGACCAGTCATGAGGATATTTATGTCTTTTATTATAAATTAAAAATCTATAGATTTGAAAGCAGAATGTTTCTGTCTAAGTGCTTGTAATTATTCCCACCAGAGTTTAAATGAACATGTTTATCTGTGTTTTTTTAGATTACTTTTAAAAGAGACCATATACTCAGGGAAGAGTTCATAATTTAAAAATACCTTTTCAATACAGGGCATAACCAAGTTGTAGCTATTGCCTGGATAAAAGCAGCACTGCTATCTTTTTCCATTTCTTTTTCTTTTCTTAAAAGTTATTATCTGTTTTTTTATTTCTTTGAGATTTTTTATTAAGTAACATTATAATTAGACAGCAATTATATGCAGTTTATATACTGTGTGACAAGATGCTGAAGAACTTTTAAAAAATGGATTAATGTATTTCCTGGCATCAATTAAAGATTCTTCACTGTAAGTGATTAGGGTGAGCACTGTCTTACAGGTGATTTACTACCTGAACAACATTCAGTAAATAACACACTTGAAAACCTTTTTTGCAGCTGAGCACAGTGATACTTTGTGATCATAAAACTTCAGAATATTTTCTTACTACAAAATTCCTCAAAAATGAATTTGTTAGAAGTGCCAATTTTTAACCAAATTCTAGAAGGAAATGTATCTGATGCCAGTAGGAAATTCAGTAAAAATATAACATTAATATCAATGCTATCTGATAAGTACATTTGTGAGAATGGTATGCATTATTAGAATGCGTAATTCTAAAGTATGTATAAAATATTTTTAACCAAATATATTTGAGGAAAATATCATTATGATGGCCACATTCAGCCTCTTCAATCAAGAGAATTAAGGCAATTTGTGATAGAAATGATAAATGATTAGTCAGAACTGAACATGAATTGTGTATCAGGTAACACAGCATTGTTGTTTGTCTAGAGCTGTTCAATATTATTTCTTATCATGGTGGAATGTGAGCAGAAAATTGTTATAAATATTCCTACTTAGGTTGCCAGGTCTGATTCAAATTACTGTCATCTGTTAGCAGTTTTTGCATTGATTATAGAATTCTAAATGTATCTTGTCACAGCTTCTCATATATTTAGATCTTTCACTTATTTTCCAAGAGCCAAAGGAGTATATTATTTCCTCCTATGGGGGAAGCTGAGAGAATTGGGTTTGTTCAGCCTGGAAAAGAGATGGCTTAGGTGTGACCCTAAATGCAGGCATCCGGTATCCAAAGGAAACCTACAAAATAGATGAAGAGGGACTTTTTTAAAGAGCATGTTGTGACAGGACAAGTGGGAATGATTTCAAACTGAAAGAAAGCAGGTTTAGATTAGATATTAGTTAGGAAAGAATTCTTTACTGTTAAGTTGGTGAGGCACAGGAACAAGTTACCCAGTGAAGTTGTAAATGCCCCAGTCCTGGTAGTGTTCAAGGCCAGGCTGGATGGAGCTCTGGTCTAATGGTCGGGCCCCTGCCCACAGCCAGGGTTTTGGAACTCCGATCTTTAAGGTCCCTTCTAACCAAATAATTCTGTGATTCTTTGCATGTCTTAAAATGAAGAGATGGCTGTAAGGTAAAGCTGGCAGATATTTGAAGCCAAGAGGTTTTAACCCCCATTTAATTGTGTGCATATCACATTTTGGAATAAGTTAAATAATTGCTTCTCTTTTGAAGGAAGGTACAGGACTTTTTGATGCTTTTATAATACAAATAATCACATTATTTCAGTTTTATAACTGCACATATTATGCATATTATGTACAATAAGGACTGTTTGTGAATTGCAAGTACACATTTTATTTTTAATGCTAACATTTTACAGCGTGTTTTTAAGAGAGGAAGAAGGCAGTGTGTATTACTCTTGCAGCAATACACTGTCATCATATCAGTGGTTCTTTACTACTTTTTTTATTAAAAATCCAGAAAATATGCTTAATAAACTACCTTATAGTGTTGCCTTGGCAGTGATATATCATATTTTGGGAATAATGATAAATTCTAAATTACCCTGTTGATGGTTAACAATAAAGGAGGAGCTGGAAGTGCCAGGCAAAATGAGTATTCAGAGACAAACTGCCTCTTTCAGAATGAATTACAGTTCTATTATTTTATTGAAAAAACTTTGTAAGATAATGTATGAAAATGCAACACTGTTTCCCAGTATTGCTGGTTTGTTTTAAACCAGAGCACATAAACAATAATTCTGCATTGAAGTGTGACCACATTCTACTTGGTAATGTTTTCTTTGAAAATTTAAGTGACTTTACTAGGAGAGGGGATGGCAGACAAAGAATGAACTTTGTGCAATATATAAATAAAAACAAACTTCTAGTAAATCTATAAATATACTCCCTTTGTTTTAAAAAACAACAGAAGCTTAAATCCCTCTCTGAGTGGGGTAGCCTAAAACGGAAGAAAAATAAAAAAATTATTGTGGCTAGGGGGCATTCAGTGAATTTAAATTCTCACTGCTGTAGACTTTGACCAAGTAAAGTGGGATGGTAGAATTGAAAATCAATAGCTGAAATACAGTTATACTCAAAAAGTAGAAGAGCAAGGATGATTGATTAACAGTCTTTCATTTCACTCCAAGGTGTCCAGAAACAGGAGGTGGTGTGTAAAAGGCTGGATGACAGCTCCATTGTACAAAACAATTACTGTGACCCTGACAGTAAGCCTCCAGAAAACCAAAGAGCCTGCAACACTGAGCCTTGCCCACCTGAGTAAGTCATTAATCACTTTAAGATGGACATCTGTTTTGCTCAGAAAGAAAAGTTCTTCACAATCTATAATAAATCCTGTTAACTAAATGTATATAAAATTCTCATCTAGTATTCATGTCCTGTCTTTTCAGAAATGGTATCTGGGCTTGGTTTTTAGTTTCTTGTTTCTCTAAAATCAGCTCTGCAAAATGCAATGAGGAGCTGTGATTTGACAGAGAAACACTAGTGATGTTTGAACTACACCAAACACTGTGAATGGAAAGGTACTTGCAAAGCAGTTTCTTGGGATCTGAGTGTCATATGCAGTGAATAGTGCACAGAGTTGAACTAGGGACCATTCTTAATGATAAAAGAATGTTTAGATGAGATTAACTTTACCCTAGTTATTAATATTGAATCTGAAACATTTGCCATATTTTAGAGTATGTTATATTAACATTTGTATTGAAGTGTTCACATGAGAAGTGGCAAATAAAGAAACTTCTAAGCAGACCATTTCCTGATAATTTTTAAATTTTTTTTTTAAATTTTCCTGGTAAGTTTTGTAAAACCTTTTCTCCAGCATATTCAGTGTCGTGCATTAATGCTCTATGCCTTTAGGGTTAGGTGCTTAGATTCTGTTTAGATTTATTTTTAAGGATAGCTGTATGATATATATTGATAATTAAAAACCCAGCAGCTCAAACTTCATTTGATCAAAAATGAAGTTTGGCAAGGACATGTAGCATAGCTTAATCTTACTACAAGACCTGTCTAGAAATGGTTGTGGTATTTGTACTAGATAATAATATCAGCATGCAAACAACAGCTTTTCTTATGTTTTGAGGCAAATAAAACTTGTGGAAAAGGTGGAACAGATACAACAGTTTAATGATTCTGAAGCTCTGGTTAGTTTTACTTTGATGATAATCTGTAGCTGTATTCCAGCTGGGTATGAAAATCCTTAATGCTGATTAAATGCAGATACTACACAATACTCTGGTCACCTGTCAAATGTCTCTTAGAAACTGCTGAATTGTAGGATGAAGGACACTGAGGAATTAGACAAGATTATTGTGCATTAAAATCCCAGCAGGTCAATGAGTTTCCAACTGAAGTCAGTCTCGTCCTGGAGTGTTAGCTCCTTCCCTGGTGTGGTGCCTGAGAGCACAGAGCAGTGTCTCTTACACTTCATCCTGCTGTGCCATGTAACACACTCATTTGGCATAAAGCCATGTAAAGCCATTGCACTGCTGTTGCCTTTGGCTGTGAACGAGCTGTGTCATGGGCAAGCCTAAATTAAGTCGAAATCATTGTCCCACAGTCTATGTGTAAATGTATGTTTATCCTGGAAGGATATGCCTTTGTCCTCTGGATAACACTTTGGCGTGGCTATAAGTACACCTGAGACCTGAGAGCAGGACTTGAAGAGCCTTGAAAAGTTTGATCAGTTCCTTTTTACTGCACTTATTCCAATCCCTTCCTTTGTGTGGCTTAGCTATTAGCAAATTAGCATTTTAAAAAGCAATGTTAACAAAGTTATTCCAAACTAGTTAAATTTTGGGGGTCTTTTTGTTGTTTGGTTTGGTTTGGTTCTTTGGTTTTTTGTTTTTTTCACTGACACTACTTAAAAAAACCCCACAAACCAATGAAACCCATTCCACAGAGTGGGAAGCTTTTGGATTGCCCATCCACTACAACAGGGATTTTGATGGACATGGTGAAAGTCATCAGTATTCCGAAAATGGGTAGAATGTATTAATTAGCATCTACTTCAACATGTCAGAGCAGTTCGAGCTATGTCTGCCTCCATTCTGATGTTCCCCACAGAGTGAATTCAAAGTGCCAAACTAAGAAAAGGTTCTCAATTCCTGGTTCTGTGAGTAGTCTAGTAGAAGGCTGTTCAAATAACAGATAATTATCTGAAGAAGTTTGACCATTTTGGCAGAAAGTTTTATCATGTGGTAAGAGTTAGTGTTTACATGGACTGGCCAAATCTTTTTAACTAGCACAATTCTGCTCTTCTTGTGGTGTACACCAAAAGCAGTGAAAATGCTACTCTTTCTGACTGAATGCTGATTACATTATACTTGATGTCTTTGAACATCAAAAGACTGTGTTTATTTTCAATATGGTATTTGTTATTACAGTAAGTAACTCCTACATTTCAGATTTCAAGAAAATGCTCTTACAGTTCTATGAATTATGAATAATGCTGTCTTGTCATACAGTATCAATATTAAAGGTACCTGAGAGCAAAGTCACTTGAGCAAATCATAGTACCAATTAAAAATTAACACTATAGCCTCTTGAAAGCTCTGAAGAGCTTCAGATTCTCCCTATTGTGGTAAAAGCGTAAGATGTTCTGATGAAGAATCAGAAATTAATTTCCTTTTTTCTGGAAAAGTAAGGACAGAATATAGCATAATTTTTTCCATCTCTGCATTGATCTAGTTTCATGTTAGGATACATTACACATAATGTAACACAAAAGAGGATAGCAGCACTTTTTTTTTTTTTTTTTTGACAGCAGCTTGATAAAATGACAGATTTTATGAAGCAGCTTCAGGCATACCTCCAGAACCATCCAGTGACTGACATGCCTGGCATTTTTGGCATGTTGGCAACATGTGATAGCATACTAGACTTCAGTTTCATCCTTTGCAAGGATGACTCAGGCGAGTGTCTTCTTAACATTTTTGAAGACAAAATGTGCTTGTCAATATTATGAGATATTTCTGTTTAATTGAGCTGCATTTCATAAGTAGAAATAGGTAACATTACAGCCGGATTAATAGCTGCTTTAATCTCTGCAGCAGCACAGAGCCATCTAATATTATTTACAAGTCTTGGTTTCCACTATGTATGCAGAAGCACTAAGAAGTTCCCTCTACCACCTATCATATGATTCTTTAAATTTTAAAAGAGTCTATTGAGATGATAGTTGTCATGAGATGAATTCTTGTCTTACTAGTGTTTGCTTAAAAAATGAGAATATTTTACATTTCAGTATCGCCCTTTTATTGAAAAGTTTACAAATGTTTCATAGTCAGATGAGAATTAACTCTCAGAAAGCCCAATTTTGACATCAAATTATTTTATTGTAATGATACTAAAGAGGCAGACATCTTGGCTTTTGACTTATAACTTACAGCAATGGTTCCCAAACATTTCCACTTGCAAACCACTTTCACAGAAATTTTTTCAGGCAAGTCCAGTACAAACCTACATAAATAGCTTCAGTTTTGTCATGCTCAAACACTCCTTTCTGACTACTATAGTCTAGAATGGAAACTGCTGCTCTAGAAAAATACAAGGTAGTGTTATTATTGGAAGATATGATTGCAATGAGGCATAAATTAAAATATTTTGTAAAAAGACCCATAAATTTCTACTTTATTTCACCATGAATGTTTGTATTGTTAAAAACTACTTAGGTTTAGTGATTTAAACTATTTGCATTCTTGGTTTGTGCAATTATCAGCTTTGTTTCTGAAATGTATTGACCGAGTCGCCTAACGTTTTCTATCCAGATGGTTTATAGGAGATTGGTCAGAGTGCAGTAAGACCTGTGATGGAGGAATGCGTTCACGAACAGTTCTCTGCATCAGAAAGATTGGGCCTTCTGAGGAGGAGACCCTGGATGCTGCCAACTGTTTAACACACCGGCCGATCGAAAAAGAGCCCTGCAACAATCAGTCCTGCCCCCCACAGTGGGTTGCGCTGGACTGGTCAGAGGTAAGGAGATTTTGCCATGTTATTTTGCTGTTTCTGTCAGGGCTGGCTAAGTAAAGGATTAATAAGAAAATTTCCAAGAGGAGGTTTCACCTGTGCTTCATTGTTTTGTTTCCTGCCGCTTTAGAAATGCCTGTAATCTACAGTGTGTCACTGTCCCCTAAATTAGCTCCTTCTCTCCCACAGGTATCACATACTGGTTACCTAAAGAAATTTTACACTCTGTTATCATGTCCAGCCTTTTATGCAACAAGATCATGTAATGATTTTGAGCAAAGTCATTCTTACTTAAAGATTCAAACTGCTATCAACTTCTGGTTGTGATAATTAATCAGGATTGTGAAAAAGTACCAAGTATGAATTTTGTTTTTGTAGCTTGGCAGACTGTTTTGACTGATTTGCATTTTAATATAATGAGAATAGTTGCTTTTTTTAATTCTGTTCATGGTTTTCAAAAATATAATATAATATGTTAAAATCCCTATATTAAACATTTTTATATGTGTGTTTATATGAATTTTGGACAAAAACATGAAAGGGAGAACAAGAGTGAGCTTAAAAAATGAAGAGTTGAATATTCCTTCCATTGAAACCAATGGCAAACCTTGCTGATTTTCTCTGGAAAGCAAGTTATGAAGTTTTCTTTTCATACTCAAAACAATGCATAATACAAATAAAACAACTATAGAACTGTTTTATTTGCTTATGCACTTGTTGACAATCCATGTAACTGCACAATTTTAAAATTTTCAGTGATTATTAACAAGAAATTATGTATCTGTTTGGCCAGAGAAACAAAAACATTTTGTAAATATACTGGTTAGATGTAGTCCTTAGGAGAATGTAAACATGATTCTTATCAAATTAAAAACTGAGGATGTCTTTTCCATTGGAATGTAGTCATTCTTAGGTTATGCCATAAGGTTTTTCACACTTTGTGATAGTTGAGCTTTGAGAGATTTAACCTACCCACTCAAATGACTCCTTTTATATTTTTCAGGATAATTATTAAAAAAGCAGAAAATATTCTAAGGATTTATTGGGAAGTGTTTTATCAGAGAAACACATATAATTTGCCTTCATGGCTTCCACACAAGCAGTCAGAAATTCCAGAAGCATTTAGTAATGGAAGATAATTTTTCCTCATTCGGTTTATCTGGATATTTTCTTTCTGTTTTCTTTGGAAATTTACAATCTCTTTGTTAAATTTTACTGGTGTCTTTTATTTTCAGTGATTAAGTACTATTGAAGGCAATATTTTTCCTTCTTTCACTTCCATTTCTGGTATCCATTGTTTAGTAGAATTTTTGCTATAGCTTCCAAAAGGGAGAGTTGTTTTCTTGTGGTACCAGTAGCTGGAAGACCTTTCTCTGATGGCATCTTCCACATGGATTAAAGATTGTGTCTTCAAGCAGTACTAGAAGGAAGATGCTCCAAAATTCAGAGTTTATTTCTTGGAGTGTTGCTTGTTTGCTAACATACTCTATAGATTATGAAACCTCACAGGCCAATTGGGATTTGACATTTTAATGCAGTCGTTTCAAAACTGTCACTTTCCTCTTTGCTTTGACAGACTGATGTGATTTTTAAGCACCCAAGGAAGCACTGAGAAGGGGCACGTTCTTCTACTTCCTGCTTAAAAAGTCATGTATTTTGCATGAAATGCATGTGGGAGAAAGTACTCATAACATTCGTTGGAATTTGGACCCCAAGTGCTCGGTTGTGATCATGACATCAAAAACCTCATATAGTAACTGTCATCGGGTTTTGATCTCTATTTCTTATTAATATTATTTGTGTAGTTCTACCAGAGATGATCTCTTCCGTCCTTCATCTAGTTTTCTGTAGGCAGTGTGCACAAGGAATGGAACTGGAGTCCCTTCAGTATAAGGATGTTTGAAACTGTTTATTCCATATCGAAATTCTGAATACGGAACTACTGTGGATAAAGAGGCTGTACCTTGGTAGAAAAAGATTGAATAGGGTAGAAAAGAAAAGGTTACATTTTAAGAAAAGTGATTATATATCCATTTTGCATTCTGGATTATAAACTCCAAATGCAAGACTCATCTTTATGCAGCCCGGTTTAAGATTCTAAATCCAAATGGAGATAACATTTAGAATAAACCACTTCATTCTATCTAGACTAGTTTAGGTGCCTCCCTCTGGAGATTTTGAGGTAGGTATAGATATAAAGTTTTATATATTCACAGGCTATACCCTTACATAATACTGTGGAACTGTTTTAGAATTTCTATAAATTACTCAGAGATACTTCAAGATTTGGCATAAAAAAAATTAAGTTTGCATCACTCAAGTAATTTTTTGGAAAATTAATCTTAGGGATGTTTCTTTTTTCCCCAGTGATATAGTGAGTTGTTTTGGATGTGTGGAAAGCCTTTGGTATGTGATGTCTTGAATATTGCTACAGTTCCACATAATGTTATTTCCCAAATAATGTTTTGTCTTTACAGATTAAAGGCAGTTCCAGTCTTGAACAGGTTAGCATAATCTGCATGTAAGGTCTATGCTGTCAGCAACTGATTCTGATCCAATTACTGCAGATATGCTTATGGAATAAAGGTTAACATGCAATAAAGGATTCTAAAACTGTGCTTACAATATCTCATGTTAAAAAGGGACTGATTTGGGAAAAGTCTTGAGTTTTAATTTTGTTAGCACTTGTCTCTGTCATTCTGCAGTTGAGCTACTGTGTATGACAGTTAATGGTCAGTAGCAAAAAGGAAACGGAATAGCAGTGACACCATAGTGAAGGAAAATGAGGCAAAGGAGGGGTCATCAGACCTGCTTCTTTTTAAGTTGCTGTTTTATTGTCTGCTTGCTGTCAGCATAGCACAAGAGTAATAAAAGGAGGGAAAACTGTGAAATCAGATTTAAAATTTAAATAGGAAAGGAGAGGAGAGCATGCACTGTAGGAGAGGGTACCATATTTTGATATATCTGAATGATGTGGTTTCTATGAAGTCAAATACAGCATTTATCTGTCCTTTCATATATTGAGGGAAAATGTGTTCATTGTGGATAAAGTGGAGTGGATAAAGACCATACTAAGGTGATATTAAGAACAGGGAGTCTTATTTTTCATTATTGAAACACTCAAATTTGTTTCATAATAGTGTTACATGCAGCAGACCTTTCTACTTTGCAGCAGTGTTTTTTTAAACCTGACATAAATAGCAACACTGTAGGCTAAATATAAAAAGCAAAGGAAATCTAAAACTTAGAAAAGCTTGTATGTAATAAAACAATATTCAGTCAGCTTGTTGGTGTTTCTAAACATTTTAAAATTATTATTACTGTACTGTGATTATAGTGGAATTGTAAGATCATAAATATATTGTCCTGCGTTACAAATCACATTTCTGAGAGGTTTTTTTGGTGCTTTACTGATATTTTAATTATTTATTTACATAAACTTTTTTTTTTTTTTTTTCAGTGCACACCAAAGTGTGGCCCAGGATTCAAGCACCGAATTGTTCTGTGCAAAAGCAGTGATCTTTTAAAAACCTTTCCAGCTGCGCAATGCCAAGATGAGAACAAGCCACCAGCGCGCATCCGCTGTAGCTTGGGCCGATGTCCTCCTCCTCGCTGGGTTGCTGGAGACTGGGGACAGGTGAGATAGTTCATGCAAGTCTTCATTACTGTTAGTCTCCAACATTAGCATCTCTTGGACTATAGGTGTCCCTGGAGATAGACATAGATGGCTCCTATGGCTGAGGGAAACACAAAGATTCTCCCCTTTTGTGTCAGATTGAAGTGTGATTCTTTATGACGGCTGTCTGAGAGCCACCTAGTTTCTACTGGGTGAGTTTCTACATGCGCTTTTAAGGAAAAAGTATCTTTACTTTTTTAAAGAGTTTTTTGAGATAAAACAGTATTGCAAGGTGTACTGTTTTTAAAACTCTTCCTTGAGAAACATGATGGAAATATAAAACCTACTGTTGTAGAAGATCTGTATATATATCTGTCTCTGAAAAAAACATACTTTGAGACCAGTATAATTTTTTTACATAAGATACACTGAGTTTCTATACAGAGAGCTAAATTACTCCAGGACAGGCTGAATAATGCTGCCATTATGCGGTGCTTCTAAATATAATTTACTAAATTTCCTTCTTTCTTTATGTTTTTGCATCTCATTAGTGATCAATGGCCTGCTTTTAGAATATTAAATGAATGATTTTTTTTCTGTTTGCTGAGAAATTTTCCTCTAATGAAAATGAAACATTTTTGTTTTATTAACCAGTGGAAAATCATCTGTGATATTACAGTCTGGTTGGCTTTTCTTCATGGTAGTTCTTCAGAACCACTTTTATATTTAACTAATATGGTACTAAAATTGTAACTATTTAGTTCCAGAAATTTAAAATGTTTTGAAACAGCAAAGTCTATTCGTTTGAAAGATGTTTACTTTTCCCTTAAAAAAAGTCCTCTAGCAGATTTGAGTTGCTGTTCTCTTTGTTTTTTTTCTTCTTTATTCTAAAGTGTCAGCATGATATATAAAATAGAGTAAATTTTATTATTATATCTCAAATCTGAACTGTTCAGGGAGTCAATACTGCATTGCATTTTCTTTTCATTGAAAGACAAGTACTCACATGTATTACAAAAACTTCTGGCATATTTTATGGCAATTATTTTCTCTATTAATCAAACATCTTCAGATTCCTGTCTTTAAAATTTGGGGATGTGAAGTGTTTCTGATTTCTTCAAGTTGCTTTATTTTATATTTAAATATTGGATGTAGGGTTTTAAATTGTTTTCCTCCTTCTTTAGTGTTCTGCACAGTGTGGTCTTGGGCAACAGATGAGAACAGTACAGTGCCTCTCATATACTGGACAAGCATCCAGCGAGTGTCCAGAAACCCTCAGACCTCCATCAATGCAGCAGTGTGAAAGTAAATGTGACAGCACTCCCATTTCCAACACAGAGGGTAAGTCTGCCATCTTAATATAACTTGTTCTGAAAAGAGTAAAGTGACACAGTCAGCATTATTGCATTGGTCAAAGTCTATATGACATCATGCCTCAGGCTTTGAATGACTTTTTAAAAAATATTTTCTGATTAGTCATTGCAGATCAATGAAAAAGTCAATGAAAACGTAAATACAAATTGTTTGTTTAACAAAATACCCTTAAACATATATAGCCTAAGTCATGGACAAAATACTATTGTTTGTGTCATTGGTTTTCTAATATCTTTATTGGTTCAATGGAAACATTCATAATTTCATGTAGGGGGAGCATGATATACTTTTCATCCACTGACCTTCTACCTGCCTAATCAGTGTTAAACACAACAATGTAGCTGCAAAAACCAGTAAATTCTGTGTTCATTAAAAGACTGGGACCATAGATTTAATGTTCCACCGTTCATGTGAGAACAAGTCTATTCTTACACTCTGACATCCTTTCAGCTTCTTCTAACTGACTTGTAATCTTTTTTTATTTATAATGCCTGTTCAAAATATTTATAGTTTTGGGAATTTTTTTTGCATTATACAGTCCATTTCAGTCAGACTATTAAGTAACTTCATCATAACATTTTTTTGGTGGAGGATATATAAGATAATATTGTGAAAATAAATTTATTCACATTTATTAAATACTTCGGATCTGAACTTGTTAATGGCCCATGCCAAACTGTAAGGAAATGCTAACTTTGAAGTAGACTTGGAGTGCTAGGCAGTAAAAAATATGTTTCCTCATTGATTATAAAATTTAGAATTGTTGCTCATGAGGGCAGTTCATTTTGTGTGGAAGGGGGAAAGCAATATGAAATTCTCCTATCAAGAGATTACACAGCAATAGCAGTCTTTCTAAAACACTTATTCCCTAAATTTTGAGTACTTGACTGCAATGTCACTAGCACTGTTGCTTTTAATATAACTAATCCCTGTGCAATCTATAATTGTATATTTTTTACACAGGATCTCCTACTACACTGGAGTTTAATATCATATTTATGTGGAACAAATGCTCTGATTAAAATTTTTTTAAAGGCGAGATTGTCCTGCAGTCTACCCAGATCTGGTGGTCATTCAATGCCTGCTCTATCCATCAATGCCCATGCCATAGATTCAAAATGGTTATAAAAGTCTGGCAAATAGAGACATTTGTGGTGAAATGGGAGCATCTAAAATTGTCCCTGAAGTACACAGATGGTTCAATGTATGATCACTGTAATTCACTATTTTTAGTAAAGTTTTAATTTTAAGTAGAGGCTTATCATCTAATGATATCATTTGAAAACATCTTCATACCAGAATTTTTCTTGGTTATTTAATTTGTCTTATTTCTGTTTAGTGCTGTCAAGAGACTTTTAAGTGATGATTATCAATCTAGGAAACTTTCTGCCTTTTAAATCTCATAGGCTACATGATATTTTATTTCCAAGCAGAGATGCTGACGTAAGTCCAAAGTAAGGAAGGTAATAAATTACTTATAAGTGGACATGATTCAGTCCCAGTCTTCGCTTAATTTCCCGTTGACAAGGTCATGTTGTTATTTATAGTAATTACACTAGTAATTCTTCAGTACTATCAGAAAATATGCTAGTCTCTCATAGAAGAATGCAATCAGGGGTTTTCTGTGTGTGATCTCCATACACTGGGTGGCCTGAACTCCTCTGCAGTAGAACTGTGCAGGCTGATTATGTACAGTGAGTCAGTTGGTAATTGTGTTTTTAGGGACCCACACCTTCACTGGAAAATTTTTGGGATCCACAAATAGAAAATGTTGAAAACACTTCTACTGTATTCCAGATGGTTGTCAGTTCTTTGGCCTGCACTCTGAGAGAGCCAGGTGCAAGCCAGCTCCTTACTGACTGCCATCCAGGCTCATTAGCACAGTTAAGAAGAATCAAAGGGGAAGAGATATTAGCACAGTATTTTCTAAAGGATACAGTTCCCAACACATTGCCACTTAGTGTCCCATTTTTGTTTATGTCCCACTCTGGAGGTATTTATCTCAAAGTTAATTTAATAGTTCAAAATGCTTATATCCTTTCAGTAGAATTTTGCCGCAATCTGTGAAAGACTAAGGTTACCCTATCCCAAAATTAGGAAAAATTCTATCTTTAAGGTATTTTTTCCATACTTGTACTAGTATTTCTATTAATTTTTTTACAGCTGCTCTTAAATAGTGAATATGAGAAGCACAAACAGGATTTGCAGAATAATGTGCACATGTGACACATTTTCTGCTTTAAAAAAGTCCTCTTAGGCGCAGGAGGAGCTGACATCTCTTAGTTCAGTAAAGTGTCAGTAAAGTGACAGCCTTAGAACAGACAGACTTATCTTTTTCAACGTCCTGAAGATGATGAAAAGATTTCAAGAGCTAACTAATCCTAAAGAACACAACTATTTTTGGAAAAGTAGTATTTTATGGGAGAAATTTTGTAGCTGTGATATTTTGTCGTTAATATATTTGTGAGTGAGGCATGCTGTGTCTCTGTTCTCGCTTCTGTCACTCTGCAGGTACAGTGGGATGGGATCTGACTGTCAGTATTTGGGTTTCAAGGAAGGAGTCAGGTCTCCCAGAGAGAGGGTTTGTCCACTTGGGAGTGTGTGTGTGTGTAGCAGAGAATACCTGCCCCCAGGCTGGGGCTTTGCCTGTGTGCCACCTCGTAGCGCTGCCTCCTGCTTTGGGCTCCATTGTGGGGCAGAAGCAACTTTGAGCAGCAGCACACTGGTTTGCAGCAAGGTCAGGTTATCTGGGGGGGATCTCTTCCTGCTTCAAACCCCAGCAAACCTGATTCCCTTTGTTGTCTAAATGCCTGTGCTCACAGACTGTGGAGCCTGTTCAACAGTTTCTTATCAATTTAATTTTGCTACCCAAGGATAAAATCATACAGGGTTTTGAGGAAGCTTGAGCTGCTCTGTGGTTGATCATGTTGGTAAAGCCTGGAAAATTTTTCTTTGGGAAGGTATGGGTTGTTTGCATAAAAGAAGAGTCAAAATTTTGGGGATACAGAAATACTAAAAGAAAGTTACATTGAATCTTGTCATATTTCACACGTGCTTCAGCTCTGAGGCTTTCAAACTTTTCATTGGTGATTTAGAATATTGTAGATGTAGTTTTGATGAGCTGCCACTGATGAAGATAATGTTGCGTTTTCTGCTGGAAGTGAACTGCAGGCATCATCTACCACAACACTTGAAATACATTCAGAATTATTCTGTTCTCTTAAATACATATTTGTCTGCTGAATCTAGACTGCTAAAGCCAATCTAAAAGTTTACCTGAAAAACTGCTTTGTCTATTTTTATTTAATTTCATTTTTTCTTATATTTTATATTATACACCTTTGTGATTTCTTTAGCTAGAGACACTGTGACATTTTGTGATTTTTTAATGTAAAATGATAGTTAGTATCATAATATCATCTGATCTAGCCACAAAGTTCAGCAAGCCGGAGCTTATACATGTAGCTTACTGAAACTTATTAACACTTCTTACTCGAAACAAAAGGAACTCTGCTAAACCTTCTCCATGCCACAGTCCTATGAAGAATAGGCTATTTCATCAGCCACCATATCTATTTCAAAACTGATTTTTAAAACAGAAGTTGTGGGGGACTTCCAGAATATTCTCTCATTGCTGTCCAAATGGCGTCAGCTGAACAGCATCCAGGTTTACTCAAGAGGAAGAATAACTTAAGAGAAACATGAAAAAGGATCATTTAAAATCCTACTTTTAGCAAAAATGCAGTTAGTGGCTTTACTTTTGTTTAACTAAACACTGTGTGTTTGAGGGTTATTTTTGGGATTGAGTGAACTTTTTATGTCTTGTTGAGATCGAATGAACCTTTTTATTTTTCACTTCATTTATAATTCACCATCTGTCTCTTCTATATTCCCAATCTTCAGAAACATGAGGACCTGAAATATTTCTGGAGGATACTTGACCTCTTTCGTGAAGAGTTTTTGAAAGGCGGTCAAATACAGTGACCATGTGTGGGTGCTGGTAGAGAAATATATCTGTTTGAACCAGTTACCCACAATGTCTTTTCTTCTGTCCCTCAATTATGCTTCCATTAAGAATTAAAAAATTAGAAAAGCAGTATGTAGGTGGAGTTGAAGAAAAAAAGAATTGCAATGAAAGCACAATGTCTGTGTTAATGAAATGAAAGTTTAAATAATTTCCTAACCACTCCTTGCTTAGCTAAAAGCATGCATATTGCCATTATCAGAAATACTGGTCAGACCTGAAAGTTCAGCCTCATTAATGCTTTCCTAAGTTCAAATGCTAAAAATTCTCATCTGCACTCAATTTGCTACTGCAAATGTACTATGCTTGCAAGTATTAATCCACTATCTGTAACACCCTGTCCCAGAGCAAGAATAATGTACTAGGAGATTGTATGGAGACTGTATGAAGAGCTGTAGAGCCTATCACTGAATTCTCAGATGTAGCTCTTTCTCCAGCTGTATCAGGATAAGAACTGAGGAGGAACCAAACTATTCCGTTCCCCATTTCCACCTTCTTTCTACAGGTGCAAAAAAATAAGCCAGAGGAGAACTACAGCATATTCCAGCTCCTGTAATGTATCTACAAAGTCACTTCATATGCAACCTGTGTGGGATGCAAAAGAAACCTTCCTCCATGGAGCTGAGCTCTGTTCTCCCTTCCTGGGAAAATTACCTGCCAGCATAACAGGGCAGCTGAGGCAGTAAGCCAGGCACATAGGCAAAACACAACTTTGAAAAGAAGTTTTGACGTGCATTACAGGCACAAAAATGGCTTTCCTCCTAGCATAAAATAAACTGTGGATGTGTGGAACCAAGCCTAAAGTGTAATCCACCATTCACTTTGGTCACTGAACTCGCCCTGTTGGTACCATTATTCAAAACGCTTGTGTAGTTTTCTCCATCCCTGTTAGCTGCAGTGCTCATTCTTTTTTAAGGATTCTCACAAGTCACAGGTGTGGTGTCAAATAGTGTGAATCATGGTAATGATAACTTCTCATGAATGAATAAAATAACTCCTGAGAAGGAAGTTAAAAGTAATGTAAAGGAAAAAACTCATGTTTTCTAACTTCGTAAAGTGATCAGTTATCCCAATAAATGATAATGCTTACAAGGCAAAGACTGTGCACTTCTAAATGTCTGAGAGCCCTGCAAACATTTTTATGGCTTTTTAAATTTGTAATATTGTATGTGTTAGACTGTACTAGAAAGAGTAGTTGCACAGAAAGGAAGGTAGATGGATAGAGAATCATGTTAAACATCAAATTTTCTTTGTACTTTAATTTATATTTCTGATTTATTTTCTCTTTAATATTCTTAATTATTAGAGTGCAAAGATGTGAACAAAGTGGCATATTGCCCACTGGTGCTGAAGTTCAAGTTCTGCAGTCGAGCATACTTCAGACAGATGTGCTGCAAGACCTGCCAAGGACACTGACCCACAGGAAGCAGAAGAATGTGCCTTGTTATTACCATTGTGGAAGAGTGTCCATCGAAGAGAGCCACACAGCGGAATGAGATTGATGTCCTTGCAAATGCATTACCCTGTGGAAAACATAACCACTGGTCAGCCCCAGCTGACAGGATTTCAATATTATTTTAACTTCTGTGAAGTGGGATTTATTAATCCAAAGTGCTGGACACAGTATGAGGGGATCCCAAATTTGAAAGATTCACACAACACATATAGAATAGCTTACTGTGGAACATTTATGTTCTTTTGACTAAATCAAATAGTCTGTTTACATCCTTGCACCATTAAAATAATTTTTATTATGGACTTAGCAATGACACTGAATCCATTTCTATTTAAAACTGTTTAAAATGTAGTTCTTATGAGTTGGTCTACTATGGAAGTAAAGAAGAACCAGAAAAAATGTTAAGTCATAGCTTAAAAACCTTAACTATTTTATCTCTTGACATAGCACCACAATTTAAATTATAAAATGAGCTTGGAAATGTTATTTAAGGAGCAGAATTTTTTTAGAAAAAAAAAGTATTTTTCCGTCATTCCACCTATTTCCCTTTGGAGTAATCCATATTTCCTGAACACTGCTGTGAGCCATATATAAAGTTATACTAAATAGAACAACCATGAGGGACTTAGTTTTAAGAGGTGCAACAGTTATTGCAGTGGTGCATGAAATACAAGTGTGCTATGAAACAAAATGAAATCTTCATTGCAGGTTTATAGCCATCTTACCATTGTACAAGTGAGACAGATTTTCACTGAAAGAAACATATTTCAGTATCATGGGGGAGGCAGACTCCAGCGGTGGTGAAGACTGGATTGCCAGTTCCTTTGCTACTACCATAAGGGTTGTTTAGGACTTACACTTTGACTCCAGCTCACTTTTGTTTACAACACTAGCCACAAAGATGGTTTGTGGGCTTCTAGATTTGGTTTACGTGTTAGCTTTGATTCTCCAAAACTGAGGAATTTGAATGCAAAAGATAAGCCTACTGTGTAATAGCAACAATCCTTTGCAAAGCTGAAAGTTAAAATGGATTCCAGATGTTCCCTCCTTTGATACCATAGCAGAGGTATTGTTTATGAGAAGGAATATGTGGATGTTCTGTTCAGGAGACTGCATCTGAGTGGCAAGGATTGCAACCAAAGAATAAGTGACTCATGGAGGTATCTAGGTTCTGTTCAAATGAGAAGGCAAAAGTGTGCTTGGGCCAAGAGACCTGTTGGACCATCAGAAATAAGGCACACTGGAAAAGGGATGGCTGTAGTGAATTCCTTCACCTAAATGGCCAGGTGCTTATTTAAAGGTGGACCGTATTTAAAGCAAGGGGAAACTTTAAGCATAAGACTGGAACAAAGTCATGCCTCTAAATTAGAAGCTAGATGCCTTAACTCTTCACTGCCATGCTCCACTTATTCATATTACCCTATTTTTATTATTCACCAAATACTTTGCATTTTTAAAAGTGAAACCAAACTTCTTAGGCAAGTCACAATCAGGAATATAACATTAAAAATATTATTGTCATGCTCCTGTTCCCCTTCACTTTTCAGTAACAGACTCAACAAGGAGATGAGGAAACTAGGTATTTCTTTATAATAATATATTGTACTTGAACATTTGCATTTTGTAACAGGTACTTCATGAATGTGATTGTGTGTCCAACTATGACTCCTTTGTTGCAAAGCAGTTAAATTTATGTGAACAATAATGTGTTACAAATTCTAACTCAAATAGCACTTTTTTTAAAAAGGTGATCTTTTCAGTGAAAAATAATTTCAAAATATAAGATGGAAGTGTACCAATGTATTTTACCAATAACAAACCAAATATGTTGCACACTACTTATTAATGTGAATTAACATGGAAGAATAGATAATGTTAAGAGGACTCATACTATGAAATCCCCCCAACATATTGACGATCTGTCAAGGTGTAGCCCCATGTCTGTATTCACAACCATCAAATTCCTGTCATCTGCTACCTCTTGCCAGTATTTCCACTTCTGTACGCTTGTGACCAGTGGAATTAATTTTCAGTTGGCTTGCATGTATTCACATATGCTTGTTATCTGTTGCTCTCATCACCATGTAAACAACTCCTGTTAAAGCTGACACCAGTAGATAAAAGCATCCCAATTTTTGGGAGTTGCACATAGAGATTAAGGGCAATATGTAGTCCTTGTCTGTTAAGTGAATTGACTTCCTATATCCTTTTGACAGAACACCTTGGTGCTAATATGCCCTGGTTAGATCAGAAGTATGATGAAAGGGTAAGGGGTTGTCACAACATTCCCTAAGTAAGAGGCCTCTTTGTATCAAGGTCCAGTTTTCTCCAGGGCATGATTTTGTTTATCAGCTAATGTGTCATTTCAGCTAATGAGAAAAGGGTTTTCTTTGTATTGAAAAGAAGCCTTTTTTTTTTTTTTACCTCACTTAGGACATGAAAATTGTAAGGAATGTTTCCAAAGACACATTTTGCTCTTTTACTGGTGCTAGAACACCGGGGATTCTCATGTTTACTCTGCAATATAACAGCACTGAGGTTGGAATTTAAAGAACTGCCTGGAGCAATGTTGAATTGTATTGTTAAAGGGAACAAAACACAGAATGTATATGGATTTACAAACTAAGCAACACTACAGACTAAGACTGAAATATGAAACCTAATTCAAAGAAAAATAACTGGTTTCAAGGCACAGTTCATTGCTGCTGCTACACTGTAGCCATCTATATAATCTAAGCTAAATAGTGTTATATTCCTAAATAGTGACAAAAGGAGTCTTTGTGCAGGCTATAAATATGACAGACCTAGAATCAAATAGTACAATACAAGATGCAGAAACCTGGTGCCAGTACTTCTGCTGAGCAATACTATCAGCTGATAAATATCAAAACAGAAATAAAGATCTAAGATTAATCCTTCAAGGTGTATACATCCAAAATAGTCCATTTCATTAGGAACTTTATAAAGGAGTGAATGTCACATAGATATCCTTAATAATACAGATTGAAATTACCTTTGTATTATTGTGATTAGTTGCTTATTATTTTATACTCAGTATTAATGTGGTACACTGTTACTTTATTATTATTATTTTTGCTTTTGTAAATTATATTCTAATTTATTGTCATGTTTCTTAACACTTGTTCTACATGCATTCTCCTGCTTGTAATAAAAACAAGATATTGTAACACTTGATGCAGTGAAATTCCACACCAGGCACAGATTTGTTTTTAACATAGATAATTTAGTAAAATAAAAGTGCAGCTTTTAAGATTGATACCCATGGTACAGTTGTCTCTTCCCTGACTTAAAGTTACTAGAATTCTGTATGCTTAATGTTTGCTTCATCCAATGCATCAAAATATATATAAGGTGTCTTCTTTGAAGTAACATCTATGTTTATGCTAGAATCCTGTCCTGGGCAGCAGCAATATTTGTCATATATAAGCAATTAAGGAAATAACAAAAAGGAAAAATCGAGAATATGGTCATGTACATGATTAAGTAATATTTTAGCCTAAGCAGTAATGTAGATCAAGAATGAAATTAATGGCAGCAAAAATATTCTGTACTTCTTGGAATTATTTCATTAACAGCCAGTCAATAATAACAATAAAATGTCCTTCTTGCATTGAGCTTTTAAGGTTTTATCTGAAGTTTATCTGAAGCCATGGTGTTTTTAAATATAAAGAAAGTAATTTCAGTAGACTTGATGCTTGGGTAACTGTTGCCGAGAGGTGCTTCCTTTCTTACCTGGCACAGTATAAATAACTTGCTATGGAAATCTCTGATCAAGTCCTATGAAATATTTATTATTTCTGAATTAAAATCCAGTTTCTGGTTTAATGAACTTAAGCACTCTACTCTTATGAACAATATTAAAGCAAGTACAGAGAGCCTTAAATATATTGATGAGGTATTTATTAATTTTAGTTATTCTTTGTTATTCTGTTTAAAAATAAGGATTCAAAAATCAATTGCTTGTTTTAAAAATACTGGTATTTCTATGTGTGCTTGATCACAAAAATTGCCATTCAGATCAGAAGTTAGAGTATTCTTAGTAAATAACACAGTTTAGTGACAATTTTCTCTACCATTGTAAAGCTGTTGACTTTCCTCCCATACATTCACACTGTAAGTTTTAATCTGATAGATTTCCCATTATAGTTCATTTTTAGTGTTGTTTTCCCACTGGAGTGGTTGTATTTTGTATTGTAATGACAGACTGAGAACACTGAAACAGATGTGTTTCTCCCTCCTTTTCTCATGCTACCTTAAACCTGACATAACCCATCATGCCTGTAGAATTCCTGAAACAAAAAAATTCACTCCAGTCTTTTTAAAATGCATTTTTTCACCAGAATTTCATTCTGGAGCCAATCCTACTGTTATAATTCTCTACTACACTTTTTCAGTTTATTTATTGAGGAAATGAACACCACTTTTAGCTGAGATACTGTCTTTTCCTTTCCCCAACTTCCCTTTCTATACCCCAAAACTGTTCCTTCTTGAGTATACTCACTGTTCAATCTGAAGCTTGCTGATGTACAATAAGCATTTTTACTTAACCTCTGTAGAATTCTGAACAGGCTTTGGTTATTCTCCTGACTTCTTTATTACCTTTTTATTGTTACTCAGAACTAAGGACTCTTCTGGATCCTCTTCTGTGGAGGTTTACTGCAATGGGCTTTGGGGATGAGTCCTGTGAGCCTTGTCTGGAGGCACTCAGTCATCAATCCGAGAGTCTTGTAGAAGGCCATTACTAAGCTGAGGCTGTCATTCTGCAAGAAGTGACAATCTATCTGGCTCTTTTCCCTTCACCACAAACAACAATTAGGTGGAAGGGATGGATGACTGCTTATGTGTGGTCCTTCCAATCTTTGTTCTAGACAGAATGGTGTAAGAGCATTTCCATGCAGTAATCAGGATGAAATACCAAACAGATTTATAAGGGCTCAATCAGCCACAGAACAAGGTTCATTACAGAACTAGTGAATAGGTCATTTCCCAAGTGTATTTGGCCCAGCTAAAGTGGAGGCTCATGTCCAGTTTAGGAAAATGAGCCACTCAAAATATAGGGTGGTGTACATTTAGGGATGCTGCATCCCTTAAACTGACATACCACCGAAGTACCACATGTAATTAATTTTCTTCTGTCTCTGCACGGGACTGACATTTTCATTGAACTGGACAGGCTACAGGATACAGTTTACGTTCAGAGGTCATATAGCTGCCAGTCAGAAAATTATTGAAGTCTGTCCTGGAAAGGACATATGTATTTCTGCATTAAGGATTGGAAGATTAAATTTCTACAAACAGGAAGGTCTTTTCAGAGAAGATCTATCAAGATCAATAAATAAATAATCTCACTTCTTTAGTAATCCTGTTTGAAATAAATTTATCAGATCACAGCTCGAGATAGAAAAGGAAGTGTTTTGGAAGCTAGAAGTGAAGACTCAGCCAGTGAGTGGTCCAGGCTTCAGTTGCTATGACCACACAGAGAGATCAGATCTGGTCTGGCTGATAAGGAATAAGCCATGGATTTTGGAAATTGGATTTCTTCATCTGCATTAAGACAAGTATATTTGTTTATTCTTCTCCCCAACCCCACCTTGACATCAAAGTCTACAAATGTAAAAACTCTTGCAGTGTTTATAACACAACAAAATCGTCACTTACATTGTTTGAAAAACCCATCTTGCAGTATGATTTATCTTTTGCAATGGAGATCAGTCTTCTAATCTACCTCCCCTTAGAAGCAATGCTGAGTAACTCTTCATCTCCAAATTAACTGTGAGGGAACAGTTCTGGACATGTGGGAATATCTTCCAGTTATATCTCTATGAAAAGACCCAGACCCACTCTAGGATTTCAGAAGACAAACTTCAGTTGAGAATACATTTAAAGTTATTATTGCCACATTCGTTCTGAGGTCAACGATGTTTAATTAAGCAAATAAAGTTACAGGAGTGCAGTGTGCTTAGTAGGGTGACTGCCTTCTAACATCTTTGAACACTGATCAGAAACAGGGGCAGGACCTTGTGCGTGAATGACAATGTGTGGTTGAAAAGTTTATAGTCCATTTCCAGAAGACTCTCTTTCATTTCTCAGACTCCACTCAGAATCCACACACTAGTACAGAAAATCTTTTCTCTCCATCATCTCCTCCCCCCTGGTGGCTGTTTCTCCTCTTTCTCACTGCTTTAACATATCTGTGCATCTCATATTTGGTGTACAGTGCTGTTGTCTTTGATCAGATATTTTAATGTGAATGTTGAGGTTTTTCACATCTGTACTTTAACACAGTTATTTGTTAAAAATGCTCATTTTCAGCTGGTTTTGTGAATTATTTATCGAAGTGTAAAAACAAATATAAAATCTAAATATGAATTTCAAGAAATTACTGCAGTAATTAGACACCCCCTCAAGGTACATTTTTCCTATTATGAAAAATACTGAGGAGCAAATACAAACAGAAGGAACCAAGTCTCTCTTTTGGTCTCAGATTCTCTTTCACAGCCTTTGTATTGAAATGCTCTATCAAAACAAGACCTTCTGCAGCAAAAAGGAATGCCAAACATCTCATTTGGCCTTTCTGGACCAAAGTTTCCTTAGAAGTTTATTTACTTAAGATAAGGTTATATTGTTGAAACTGTCCTGTCAATTAGCAATAACATTTGACTTCAGATGTATTATTCTTCAAAAGCATTTTGAATATCCATATCAAGGATAGGGCTTATAACTGATTTTCTAGGAGGGAAGGTATGATGTCTATAATTACACATACCAATTAACTATGTCTTGCTCAGAGCTCTTGTGAAATGAAGTGCAGAACAGCCTATTTAATTTAAAGGGGAAAATAAATTAAACTGCATTTCATACTAGATTCAAAAATAAAATGCAAGGGATTAATATTCCATTTTGATTTTCAGTGAGGTTTAAGAAGCTGTCCCAGCACTGGTTGTTCACTGCACTGTAAAATGTTTATAAAGCTGAAGACAAATGACCCGAATTCTATTTCCATGGAGGGTTTGGGGTTTTTTAACTCTGTTATCCCAATCCATCTAGGAAAGGTCTCAAGCACTAAGACAAACACCTTTCTGTAAATCATCCCCCTCAGATTTGCAAATTTGCTATGCTGGTTTTTTACTACTTTCTGCAGTTGTGATCATCACAAATTTTAATGAGAGAAAGACTAAGAATGATGGGCTTGAGGCCTTGGTCTCATGGCTGTGGATGTGTGTCCTTGTTACCTTTCTCCTATAGCTGGAAAACTGCCATGTGGCCTTTTTTCCACCTGTATGACCAAAACAGGTTTCTGGCACCACAGGCTTGCTGTCTGCTCATCTGCAGGGTGGGCAGATGCTCATGAAAGACTCAGTTAACGTGGGTTAACGTGCCCATCAGGAATCACAGGTATTTTGGACCAGCGCTGCATAAAATTGGTTCCTGTGGAATGTGACCTTTCTGTCACCTGGCTTTCATGCTGGGGACAGGGTTCCAGAGCATCTTTCAGATTTGGCCAGCAGCCACCTCTTGGTCTACAGCAGCAAGTGTCCCTTAGCCCTTTGTTGGGGCTCAGCTGTGGCTTGTGGCTGCTCAGAGCTGCAGCCAGGATGGGTGCTGGAATGCTGCAATATGCAATTCTGCCACAGCAGCTGGCAAGCCCTGGTAAATCATGCTGGTGTGGAGAGCTGATGAGCTCTGAGCTGTGGTGGATCTCCTCTGTGAGCAGCTGGCAACCAAGGGCAGGCCGAGAGCTCAGCGTGGTTCATTTTCCCTTCAGGGACTCGTGAGTCTGGGATGCACTGCTTGGGCCAGGCTGAGCAGCAGCCTCTGCCCAGCCCCTGGCACACCACAGCTGCCTCCTCAGCTGGAGGGGTGGAGGGGCTGCCACACTGAGCAGCCATGACAGCTCCAAAGGGACAAGGCTCTCCATGACAACAGGATGGCTTCAGCTGAGGTGGAAGGCCAGTGATAGTGATTTTGGGGAAGTTGTGCTGGGGCTGCTGGTCTGGGAAAGCTGTGGAAGGGCCAGGGAGTAGGAAGAAAGAGTGGGACCATGAGATGGAGCTGATGAGGAGCTGAGCAAGTCTCAGTGAAGGGATCCTGGGGCAAGTGTTGGGAAAATAGGCCAATACCACAGGTAAAAGAGGAGGTACCCCTATAGAGGAAAGGACATGGTTCCTGTGGTTAGATGAAGTGCAAGAAACTTTCAGAAACACCTTGAGCTCAGAGACATCTCTTGGAGAAGCTCAGTCTTCAAGGTGGGGAGTGGAGAGCCCCTGCAGAGCCTGCAGAGAAAGAGAGGCCCTTGGTCAGTTTAATCCCTTTGGTGAACACCTGAAATGTTATATATACTATTAACCAAAGAAGCTATGAGTCTCTCAGTGAGTTGCAGCAGTGAGCGAAACTCTTTACCACTTCGGATAACCTGTTTTAATTGGCCATGCTGTATTCAGCAGATGAGTGAACTGTAAATGATCACAAAATGTAGCAGTTGCAAAAATCATGTCTGTAAATTTGCCTGCCACAGACAGCTGCATTCTTGAATGCCAGATGCTCACTGGATCCTGAGTAATTCTGCTGAGCTGATGAACAAATGCTTACAGGGAGTGTTGACTCTCAGCTGGTAATCAAGGTAGCAAAAGGCTGCCAAGAGGTTTGTTGCTCATTAAGAGTATGACACTTAGAGCCTTCAAAACAGTAACTGTGACTCTCCTTTAAAAATACAAGAGAGAAGTAATGTATTTTGGTAACTTTGGTCTGAAATTTTGATCATCCTTCTGTGGCTTGAGAAACTTGATTACAAAAGCAGTGACCATGCATGTAAATCTGGGTGTCCAGAGTTGTGCAATGGAATCTTGTTACATGTGAAGTCTCAGCTTGATTTTGCTCGTGTTTTCCTTATTATACCATGTATGTCATTCAACAATATATGTTTATCTTTGTTTTGATTAAGTTCATGCTGGTTTTGGAGGTATGGCCCATTCTTACCTGGACATAATGTATAGAAATTTGGAAAGGGGTGGACAGATGAATGACCAGCCCTACCGCACAGAAATCTTGAGCTACGATTTAGAAAAAAATTCATGCAACTGTCTATGAGAAATAGACCACCAAACCAAAATCAAACTTTTTAGTTACCATTCTCTTATTAGCTTTTTTTAAAGTCTTATGGTGTGCTTGTTTCATATTTTCCTGCTCTGTATAATGAGGAAAGCCAGAAAATCACTTTCTAAGGGGAAGAAGAAAGGTTGGAAACACAACAGCTAGAGTTATAAAACAGAACAGTCTTTCAGGAGAAAACATAAATATTTTAGCACATTATAATATTACAAGGGTGAGCAGGATAATACCCCATTCTAATAAAGCACTAAATTCTCATTACACTTTTAAGGAAATGTTAGGTATCTTTCTCAGTGAAGGCAACTTTTGTAAAACTTTAAGCTTTCTTTCCCGTTTTATAAAAATTATGACCTGACTTAGCAAAATGCTGCTGCCTTCTGGGTCATTCCAAGGAATTGTCTTCCAGCTGGAAACTCTTGAAGTCCATGGTTGACTGCTCACATTCTTTGTGATCTACTAGGAAAGAGAAGGATGCAATGCCAGCTTTATACTGATCAGTAAAACGTCAGTATCAATCTAGCATCCTCCTATCTCACTTATTTAACTTCTTTTAAGAAGATTCCCAGTGAACCTGAGCTTGTGATCTCCTGAAGGACTCCTCAGAAGGTGTACATGCACTGTTGTCTTCATGTCAAAACTACAATAGTCTTGCTGTGCCAGAGAAGGTGAATCTGGCCCAAAGTCAAAATATTGGTAATTCTTAGCCAGTTTTGAGTGGACATACACAAAAACAGTGCCTTTGGCTTCCATTCAGGCTGACTTTTTAAAAATTATTTTTAATTTTTTTTAAAAACTTCTTAAATTTTTTTTTCCCCCTAATGCTTTCTGGAATGAAAGATAGAAAAAGTGGGTAACTTTGTCTTGGTAATACAGTACCAAAAGATAGTAGATCATAATGTAATAATTTTCATCAAGGTCTCATTCTTAATCAAGGCCTCTGTTAATTACATCATCAAAATTTTCCCAGTTGAGACTGTAGATACATCTGCTATAAATACCTGCAGAGCAGCTTAAGGCCAAAATAGCAATGTTCCAAATCAATTTTTAGGCTGAAAAATATACTTTTTATTAAAAAGTTGAGAAAAAGTGGATTCCTGTGCATCAGTAAATGTAATGAGTAAAGTATGTAGAACTAATTACAGTAGACCATTTATTACCAAGCAACTGTTAAAAATCTTGAGAAAGAAATAAATAAATCCCACAGACACAATTTAAAATAATTTCTAGTAAATAAGCATGGAAAAAAACCCCTCAGACTGAAACATCTTTTGCTGTTTAGAGGCAGATAATCCATTCTTAGTCCAGGGCACAAATTTGATTTACAGTGCGTTTCAAAATATTTATCTTCTTTTTAGGTTTTCCATCACTGCCTAAGCCAATAGCCTGCTGTGTTTGAAAATGTCTGGGCAGTAATTGTAATTGTTTTTAAAGCTATTTTGGAAAATAGTGAGCTTTGTTGCATTTTGTAGATTTTAGGAATGCAATTATCAACATTGTATATATAATCCAAGTGACCTGCTGGCTTTAGAAGCTCAGACCCATAGAAAAAAAAAATTAACAACAGCAAAATGTTTGTTTAATTTTTGTTCTGTAGTTGGTCAGTGCTAGGTGAATTATGTTATAGCCAGTTTGGCAATAAATGATTAAATAACAATTCCATATAAGTACATAACAGTGTTAAAGTAAACATACAAGGAAAAGAATGATTTTTTCTGTGTGGATAATCTGACCCATTTTCATATGTCAGTATTTGATGAAGTACTGTGCTGATATGATGGTATCTGGGTACTCCTGTGATTCATCCAAAATTGTTAACAAACAGTTAGGTCTGAACACTCAACACAAAGTAATACATCTTAGAAACTGATACGTAAATATGTTAGATAAAGAGCTAAGTTTTCTTCTGTGTTGTTCATTATAAACTGACAGAGATCTTTCCCAAACTATTTTGTTGCCTTTTCCTTCTGCTTTAACGGGTTCCAGACTGAATATACTTTTCTGATAGGCATCTGTTGAAGAAGAGCTAGAGTGAGGTGATGTGAAGAATATGTTGGAATTACAGTTCCAGTTTTTAAAAAAAGAAGCACAAAATTGCGTTTCTGACTTAGAAATAAAATTACAAGTCAGTGTCTAAAAACTGTTAGCAGTCTACTTAAAAATATATCTGCACCAGGAGAATATTCTTTGGAGAAACATCTTTGAAATAGATCTTTCACCATGACCCATACACTGCATAGTGAACATGCAGTTGCAGTTTATTGACAGCAAAATATTAAAACCAGTTAGGTTCTCATTTCAGTTAAGCCTCACTCTGTTCTTTATTGTACCTTGACACATTTAACAGAAATCAGTTAATGCTTCAGAAAGTTCACCAACTATCCCAAGATCACGATCAAGATAAATGACCATATCCAAGCATGAAGTTATTTATTCACTGATAGCTGCCTAAACCATGCATCCATGTTTTACATAACCTCTGGGAACTTCCAGCTGTATTGTATGTATGCCTCACAGGTATATTTTTCTGTTAAAATTTTGTTAAAATTTTTTTGGAAAGCAACTTGGGAATGATTTTATGACAAAGTTACCTATAGTTTCGTTTTTGCAAACTGGCCATTAGTAGTCATATTTAAGCCTTAAAAGCTGTAAGTGTTTCATCCCATTGGTCCAAGGAACCAAGTGGCAAATTATAAACATTGCATATTTCTACATTTATTTAAAAATACTCTTCAGATTAGTTACAAATTTCCTGTTGCTTACCAACAGTGTCACAAAGTGCTTTTACACTGCTTTCTGGTTAGCATAAAATAAATATATGTTTTTAAAAATACTTATTAACAGAACCACTCATCCCAGAATGAGCTCATTTTAAATGCTCATTTATCTACCCTGGGCTTTATGCTAACTGATATTTCTCAAGGTCAAATCAACAAGTTTAGACTGGATCACAAACTTGAGCACTTGAACAGATATGTTCCCATATCTGGACAGGGTATTTTTCCTATCTGCTGCCATGTTCACCTCACCTAACTTCTCCCTAAGAAAAAACAAATCTCAACCCAGATGAAGCTTTAAGATGTCTCTGTAAATACTGAGCTCATCTTTCTGTTCTGTGTAACCCACAGCAGATCCTCTTTTACATTTATGAAGAACTTGTTCTAGGCAAGCTGTAGTTGTTACTCTTGTGCCATGTTCATTATGAATAGAAGCCAGCAGAGACAGACACAGGGCAGTGATATCACAGAAAAGAGGGAATGCACTTGCTAAACTGATGCAGGGATGAAATTGACTGGAAGAGCTTAGTAAAAAAACTGCTGTTCCTGTTAAATGGAGCTCTGAGGTATGAATTCTGCATGGCTAAGCCAAAAGGGATATGGGAAGAGATCTGATAATACGTGTGAGGTGCAGTCCCATGTTTACATAATTAACAAACTCTTCAGATGTTGTATTCCAATAGTCTCTCTGATGTGTTACTACCTGGTTTGGGTCTATCATTGCAGCTCTTTAAAAGGTCATATAAAGATAGGACTGTATACAAACAGAGGCAAGTATTGGCACATTTGCAAATCAGAGATTCCAAAATTCTTGTGGAACAAAAGTAGAACATCATTCATACTCCTGCTGAGTATTGGAAATACAGATAGGTTTGAAAAAGTTTGGAAACCATCTGTGAACCTTTTGCTGAGGGTTTTGAGAAACCATTTGTCCTAGGTAACCTCAGGCACTTTCTAAAACTGATGAAAGCTGTCAGGCTGTTAACTGGGCTTATTCACAGTCTTCCATTTCCTCTCAAAACTGCCTTTGGGTACCTGTCCCTGCTGGGAGGCTTCCCATGGGGGAGGTTACAGAAGGTTGTTGATGTGCTCTTTGGTGTTTCCTTTGAGGTCTGGAAGGGTGTTTCTGGCATTGCTGTTGGAGCAATTCTGTCTGAAGGAAAGCTAAAACTCTTGATGATATTCCTGTGCCTTGATAAGTTCTAGTGAATAGGTCAAGAGGTCTATGTGGTGCTACCATGGGCAGCTTTCTTGAAGTGGTAAAGTGGTCCATACAGATGCCTGGATTTCACAGGACATGACTGATCTGGAGCTGGGAAAATCAGCAAGCCCATTTAGGTTGTGGGGATTTATGTGGAGAAAATTTTCACATTTATTCAATTCTAGACATTCTGTTTTACTCAATAAAGCTGTATGAGAACAATTAAGGAAGATGCAAAGGCAGATTCCAGGCTGGCCATGGTGTTGCAGAGTCCTATAATTTATGCTTTTTCTCTCTCTATTTATATTTATGTATTTCATAATTTTATGTATATAATTTTAGCAGTTTATCTCTTACCCTGTAAGACATTCAACAGAGGCTAAGATATACAGGATGGTTGCTGTTTCTAATCCCTTTTGAGGGTTAGAAGGTTCTTTATCATTGATGGAGATTAACACTTTTTCCTTAGCAAGTTAATTGGTTTTTAGATCTCCCATTAAACAAACTGGCAGTAAAATAGGCTTGGTCTGATTCCATAGTACTGGTAGTACAGGGAACCCATAACTGATCCTTCCATCAGACAGAAGAACTTCAGTGCTGCCAAACTCAGCAAATAACACCTTTGGGATTACAGTGATTTAGAGCTGAGATAGTCTTGGTTTTCAGGTAGCTAATGCAGTTTTACTTATGTTCCTTGCAGAATGATAAGGGAGGTCACATCACTGATGTGAGAGGCAGCAAGCATTTGGTATCTGCTAATTAGGTGAATACCTACCTTCCAGAGGTTGTAGATCATGCAGACATTGGCAGAGCAGGAATAAGTAGAGAATTCGCCTGAACTAACAAGGTCTGATGATCCTTTCAGAAGATAAAGTAATTCTGACTGAGCCTTTGCTTTGAAATCAAGCAGTGTACTGGCATGTGTGCACATTAAGAGGCAATTCTAATGGTCATCACTGAACTCTGTTGGTCTAGGAGAGTTAGATCCTGCATTTGTGTGATTAGCTATTTTGAGCCCTGTTAGGAAAACAGGGAAGCAGAAACGATTAATACTCTGCTTTCACATAGATATTATTTTTTAAAAGAGCTGATAATAAACTGAAAGTGCAATAGCTTAAATGTTTCTAGGTTTAGTCACAGTTGTTGTATTCTTGATGTTCAATTATAGACTCTGCAAGCCCAGCTGATAAAAAAAACCTGTGAGATGTCTAAAGTTGCTGTCTTGCTGAGTTGCTGATCACTTGAGGAACAGGGTGTTATAAAAGAGAAATCTAGTAATCTTAATAAAGACATTGCTAATGGTCAAACTTAACACTATGTTAGTCAGAAAAGAACAATTATGGTTTCTCTTTTCCTCATCCCAGGAGTTTTAGACCAAAGTCAGTAAAGTGAGATTCTCCTTGCATGTTTATGATGTGTTCATTAGCTTCTCTATTAAGATGAAGCCAAAAATCCTTTAGTTATGTTTACTGAATTTATAGTGTGTTACTAAACTCTGTCTTATTCTAAAAGCAGTAGAAGAAGTTGGGTCTCTACTATTTGTGCCAGAACCTGTGAGATCTAGAAAAAAATTAAACACTTGGCTCTAACCAGACTCTCTGTGTCCAAGTGGGTTTCACTTGAAACCCACAGTCAGAATGTATACTTATCCCATCTAATGCTACTTATCATCACATATCTGTCACTTGCCATGTGATATTGAAACAGGCAGAGGCTTTCTAAAATAATGAAGCTAAGATCAAGACAAGCCCAGGAAATGCACAGCTCAGAGTGTGATCAAAATATAAGTATTTTAAGACCAGCTGAGCAAAGCAGAAGTAGTACGAGAGAAAAAATAAAAAAAAGGTCCAAAGTCAGATGTAACTTTCTTTTTTAAGTCCTACTTTATCTTCACTTCCTGTTTTCCAACTGTGCTTTTCTGACTGTCAGCATCATAACAGCTTAAGACTATAAGGATAAATGGAAAGCTTAAGTTATAGGTAGTAATTTCCTAGATATCCTCCAGTTGAATAGTATACTTAATTCTTTTTTTCTTTCAAATTCTTTGCCTATTTCTTTATTTCTAAATCTAAGTGGTAGGCCATGTAACAAAACACCCACAAAGGAGCTCAGAAGAGACAATGGCAGGAGAGGGAGGATGCCAAGCCCGTCAGAGAACCGGGCAGCTCACTCAATTTCACACAGCCCATTTTCATAACAAATCAAGGGCTCCTGAGGAATGACCACCTTGTCTGTTCCCTCCCAAAAAATGGAAAAAAATAAGTGGAAGGGGAGGACCTTGTTTTTAAGTTTGATACAACTTTTCATGATCAAATATGGCAGACAGAAAACCAAGACATTCCTGGAGCATTCTTAATGAAGGGAATATCTGCATTCTTAATAAATTTCTGCTGGTTTTTTTTTTTAGTTTAAATTGGAAATAGAATTTTCATTTCAGAGCTGTGAAAACAAGACAAAGGTGTGTCTTCAGCTGCGGTCTCATAAAGGTGGCTCCCTTGCCAGATGAAATCTGTTCGAATGGGATTCTTGGGAGCTGATTCATCAGGCCTCCACCTAAATGATTACAGGTCTATCAAGTGTTCTACTTCAGTGTTCCATCTACAAGCCTTTCACTGAGTTTTGTACAGTTTTTGGTCAACTGCTGTGGCCTTGGTAGTGGTCTAACAAGAAATGTGTTACTAAAATTTAGATGGGATTTAATATCTGTAAATCTAGGCTAGCCTTGTGTCTCATCCATCTTTGGCTTCTAGTTTAAGGAGAAACAAGCTGTGCAGATATGCTAAGGAAAAGTACCAGGAAGTAGCAATATTATTACTCGCAAAAAAGACTAAAATTTGATCAAATTATTTTGATTTTATTTCTCTTCACCTTTCAACTCATATATGCAAATACTATTTTGCACTTTCTGTTTATCTTTTTTGTTTACTTTTATATTTTCTTTACTTTTTGTTTACCTTTTGTTTATATTCATAACCAATATGAACAGTTCTATAACATACTACATTGTATTATAAAAAAATACATGTTTTGGAGCTGGACATAGGTAAATTATCTATCTACCATATATTTTAGAACCACTCCCTGTGATGAAAAGCAATTATCAAAGCATGCAAAATTGAGAGATGAAGAATCGTACCTTAGTCCTTTGTACTAGTTTCTTATACCAACAAAACTGAAGAGCTAACCTGTACTTCAACCTAAGTAAACAGTCAATGTGATCATTCCCCAGCCTGTATTGATACTGGGGGTTGCCCCAACCCAGGTGAAAAACCTTGCACTTGGTCTTGTTGAACTTCCTGAGGTTCATGGGGACCCACTTCTCATGCTTGTCCAGGGGTCCCTCTGGATGACATCCCATCACTCAGGTGTGTCAGTCACACCACTCAGCTTGGGGTCATCTGCAAACTTGCTGAGACTGCACTTGGTCTCTTCATCTCTGTCATTAATGAAGATTATCAAACAGCAGTGGTGACATTACAGACCCCTGGGGGACACCGGTCATCACTGATCCTCATTTGGACTGTTGACCAATACCCTCTACAAGTCACCATCTAGCTTGTCCATCTAACCATCCACCCATTAGTTCCATTTCTCTCCAATTTATAGAGGGAAACAGTGGCAAGGTGAGGCTGACAGGTTGGTAGTTCCCAGGATCCCATTCACCTTTTTTAAAAAGGTGTCCCCTTTTTTCACTGGGGACTCCACCTGACTTTATACATCACAGATGGGTCTTGGCAAGTATGTTAGCCAGTTCCCTCAGGACTCTGGGATGGATCTCATCAGGCCTCATAGTCTTATCTGGTTCCTCAGCTAATCATGAACCTAAAGTCCACTTATGAAGCCAGACACACTTCCCTTTCACTCAATTTTTTTTAAGAAATATTTGAATCACAGGCAGCCTGAGGTTCAGTGTTAAAGAGGAAAATTTCTTTCTCCCAGATCTAGTGCAATAAAAAAATTCAAGGAAGGTATGAGGTATAAAGAAGCAGGAGAAGATACATAATGGCTAATTTTAAGATTAATCTGTGTAGGAAACCCACATTTCGTCTGTAAAGAGGAGAAAAATCACATTCTAATTGTTCAGTGTTTTGCAATGATTTTGTATTATATCCTGAAGCCTTGTGGTCAAACCAGTATCAGCTGAAGGCAGTTTATAACAAAGAGAGGGGAAAAAAGAATAAAATCTCTATTTAACCTTGTAATTAATTGCCAACTTTTGTAATAAAGTTCTCTGTATTTTACAGACCACAAGGAAGGAATGTACTTTCTGTCCTGAGAAATGAGCTTTAATGCAAACTGCTGAGGTCCTTCTATTTGACATTAATTTTCTAAACAGTTTTATATTTTAAAAAGTTTTAAAGACTTGTCCTTTGTAACCTTAGAAAATAAACAGGCCTGTAACTATTATTTCCTTAGTGAGAGCTATTTCATTAATGAAGTTCTAAAGATGGAAAATGTAGAGACCATATATGATATTTTAGAGACTCAGAAGCTTTGCATAAAATAAGAGAAAAGTGGCCTCTACCTCATCTTCCTCTAGCACTTTTTCTAACAACAGTATAAAAATAATAAAATATAAAAATTATAAGATATAAAATAATAATGTATAAAAATAATAATAATTCCACAGAATTACAGTTGTTTTTCCGCTACTGAAATTTAGTAATTACTCACCAGGATGACAGTGCTAGCAGGAAAACTGAAATTCTGGATTCTTTTAGAAAAAATCAGCATTTTTAAACAGGTCCTTAATGCAATGTATAGGAGTTTTGCACATAGGACCAAATACATTCTGCAACTTTATTTGCTCTGCTACTTCTGATACTATAATGGCTGAAATAACAAGCAAATCAACATCTAAATCTAACCATATTTCCTGTGCTTTTAAAAATCATGTGAAGTATATAGTTTTATTAAATTTGATAGTTTCTTATGGAAATTGGCACAATGGTATCTAAGAATTCTCAAATGATAGTCAAGTATCTCTGAGATTTTCAAGACACTTTAAAAAGGTTAATAGGTCCCATATTTGACAATTTAATAGATCAGAACTTAATCTTGCAATTCAATGCCATAATGCACTATGGCTGTCCAGTTTCTAAAGTCTTGGAATGATTTTTTTTTCTATTTATTTGTTTATTTATTGTCTCCCTTGTAGCATTGTATGGCATTGTATAGCATTAACTAAAATGAAAAGTGTTATGCAAAGACAGGTCCAGAGACAAATGCTCCAGATTATCACTTATCAGCCTCGACTATGAAACTAGATTCTTCCTTCTGCAATTCTGGCTTTGTTCAAATTTTCTACCAGTGTTTTTGGCCAAGCAGAGTGCTTTCAGAAGACAGCCTTTTGTACTTCATGTGCAGCCTTGATTCACCCTCCAAGTCTCAAATATACAGAAAGGGGCAGAGGTCATTAATGAAAAATTGTTTTGTGATCATTAAAGTATGCAACATAACATCATGGACAGATTGGGAGGGAGGATTGCAGACTCATAGGGAGTGTCCTGAGGTTCAGGCTCTCCCTGATGAAATGCTGTTACTTCCCTCAGTTTTAGGAGTTGCCACGTTCACAGGAAAGGAATGCGGTGGTGTTTAGTCTCTTAGACTGGAATCAACATTTACACAAGAAAAAGTTAGACAAGTAAGTAAATAGCTATTTACCCAACCTCAGGATTAACTCCACAGTTACAGCATTAACTTAGATGAATTCCTGAAGGATTTTTTCCTTTCATTTGATGAAGATTTTTATACTTCACATCAAGACAACAACTCAGTCCTCCCGAATTCTGTTTTGAATATAAAATGATACATGTAATACGGAACTTGCCCTGAGGTTTTTCTCAGATGCAGCCCCCCTTTCTTATTAATACAAGAACAATCAGAATTGAATGTCACTTGTGCTAGTGGTTTGTCCACAACCCCTACCTGCCTTGAACTAGAAGGACTCTTGGGCAAGTTTCAGGCTCCCAACAGTAAGAAGAAATTTTAACATCTGTCCTGTTGCTAAAGTATATAAAAAATGTTACACTGTTGTGAGAGGAATGTTGGACTGATGGTTTGGGTTTTGGTTCTAAGTGTGCGTATAATTGCTTTGTGAACTGAAATCTATTTTTCAGATAGGCAAACTGAAAATTTCAAAAGCATGTACAAACTATTGCTAGTTCTTATCTGAAACTGGAGAGGATGGTTTTAAGTAACTTTCTGAATGGTAATAATTTTGCAGAGAATATTACTAGCCTTGGCTTTGTAAAAGACTGATGTCCTTTCAGCTCCCTTTCCTGTTATATCTGACCTGAGCATACATAAACAGGTAGCTGGATTAATATTGCATAAGCAGGTGTTAACTTCATACCTTTGTTACCCTTGAGTAACTGATTTTGAAAATCATACTGCTTTCACCAAGGTGCTTTTTACATTCAAAATAAACTGAAATTTTCAGCCTACCAATGCAAGCACTTTGAAGTAAGCAATTAATTGGCAGCAATAATAGGTTTCTGTCCTCTGTGTGGATCTTGGATGTTTTGACAGTGGTTTTCATAAATCTAGTTGGTGAGGGAACAGGGAAGTCTAAGGTGAGTATTTTCACTAAGATCATGGGTTTTTTTAAGTTCTCAATTTTTTTTTCTAACCTTTTTTCCTCGGAAACAGCTAGATCATTTTGAATGGCACATTAAGTATGGCCTGCTTGCCTGCAGAAGCTGCTCCTCCCAAGATCTCAGATTGCATTACCGACTTACAAAAACCTGACAAATTGTAAAGGTGTGTATCTTTACCTCCTACAGATTGGGACACAAGATAAAAGCTAATCTTTTATTACTAGCATTAGCATAAGTTCTGGGGAAAGTGCTAGAGAGGAAAATTCTTAATCTTGATATTTAATGTATTGCAAGCAGGCATCCTTGGGTTTTCTTGTAGTTAAACAGTAAAAAGTTAAGAAATGCCAGGATTTGAAGTTGCTTACTGCTGGATGGAGTTTATCATTTGAGGCTCGATAATGTGCTAAATGCACAGTATGGCTTTTCATTCAGAGCTGGCACATGTCCTGCTGGCTCTGTTGGGTGGAATTTTCATGTGCTTGCCTGCAAAATGCCATGTAAACAAATACTATGGGGGGAATTTCCAAGAATATGTAACGGCTAGATGCACAAGAGCATGTTGTGTCAGAGTAATGGGATATCTCCCTTAGTGATACATGCCTTCACCCCTTGTTTAAGGTATCCCATAGCTTGGTGTTTGGGGGGAAAAAATTAAGAGAGGAAGCAGAGGTCAGGTATGGGTTCTAAGCCGCAGGACAGACATAAGTACATGCACCCAGGTCTCCACGTCCTGGACTCTGGTGGTTGTTGCAGAGCAGCGTAAGTTAAACGATGTGAGCAGCACAGCTGATTTGTTAAAGCCTGTGCAGCAACAACCTTGAAGCTGATCACACGGCATGAGCTGTGTCCAAGAAGATGAAACACCTCTTCCTGTTCATGTATGCAGCGTAACCACAGCGTGCTCAGCTCATGAGGTGAGCACAATAACAGGTAACCATGTTACATACTCCATTACGTGGAGCATCATCTTATCACAAATTCTATAGGTATAAATATAAGTGCCTGAAACCAGCAAAGGTCTTTGCATTAACACTGCAGAGTCTGTGCCTTATTCCACCATCAAGTCGTAATCACAGGGTAGGAGATGATGATATTTCCTTTGTGTCTTGTCTGGAAATACATGTGATCTGAGTGCATATACCCACAAGTGAGAAAAAGTCAATATCTCTACTCTGCAATTAAGGATTAGCCTAGTCCACCCTTGCTTAATGCAGCTAAAGTGGTATGCATTTGGGTACCTACCTAAATCTACATTGGTTTCTTAGTAACTTTGGTTATTTGCAGGCACAGATAGGGAGGCTTAAGGAACGAAGTTTTCATGGGTATCTATCTATGCAAGTCTTGAGACTCCTTATGAGCTTAATATATTGACTACCCCTGTCCTGATAGCAACCAAAAAATACTTCTCTTTGTTTGCCTGAAGGCCAGCCTTAAATCATTTTCCTGTGTTTATGCTAATTAAATAAGATTATGAATGGAAACAAAAAAATCCTTTTTTGATTTTGTGAGCTGAATGTTCTTGCAAAGCTTATGCTGCATTTAAATAATGGTAGAAACTGCTTTAAGAGGGATGAGTCCTGAGGATAGGCATTAATTTTTGTGGGTTTTGACTAGCTGGAATATAGAACTGAGTGCTTGGGGATTTTTAAACTATTTTCCAAGTTTCTCTTAGCTTCTCTTCCCTCTGGGGTAAGCTGTGCCCTTTGGAAGCCTGAAAAGGAACAATAAGATCTGATGCATGTTTATGCAAAGCAATTCACTTAATAGCTGAAGGGGATAGTGCTGTAAAAGTGACATGATTTATAAAGCACAAGGTCAGCTTGGAGTTTTTGAAGCCTTAAGAAAGGGATGATTACGGTGCACCATATGTGATCAGAGATAGCATGGTTTGCACCTGCATTTGCTTTTTCAGCCTTTGTGCAATTGATTCTCAGAGGCCCCTGAGGCGATCCGAGATGATATGGTCTGACTTGCTAAAACGAAGAATAAAAATATAAGGTAAAAAATAAAAACCAAAACCAAAACAAACCACCAATCAACCAACCAAAACAAAAGCAAAATGAAAAAATAGTTAGGCAGAGTTAGAGTTTCTAACTCAAAAATCGAGTTAGAAGCTATTCTGTGTTGAGTCAAAAAACATCACAACTCTTATTTGTTTTTGGTCTTATTGTATATAACTAGCAAATGGTCCATATGGCTGTGAGCACTGGTAACATCAGCTATGTTAATTTCTTTGTTCAATCAATGTTTTCAAAGACTGTAAGAAAAAGGCAGGAATAAAGAGTAGAAAAACAGCCCATAGGTCTTAGCTTCCAGTGAGGTTAACTGTGTAGTTTAGAATATACAGATATTAAATTACAGAGGAGGACAATTTAGAATGGTGCTACATGGAGCTGGCCTTATAAAATATTAGAGATGCTATAATGGCTATTTTTATTGTTTCTCTTCTCACAATTTTTACATTTGAAAATTAGTCATCTTGTACTTCCAGAACTGCTCTTGTCCATCTGCCCTGAGTTTTCTAATTCAGTGCACTTCATCTTTTTTCCAAATGTGCTTTTGTTATCCTATGGTAAATGAGCTTCTGCTGAATTTGTGTGTTCATTGGTATACGACCTTGTATGAAACTCTTTCTGTGTTTCTGGTACACAGATTTAGTACACAAATACTTCATGCATTTTTAGAAGGAAAAAAATAAAAAGAAAAAAAAAAAAGATAAAAGTGGTTCCAGGTTCCAATTTGTTGGTGCTTGTACAGGCATTTTTTGTTGGTAAATCTTTCTTTGCTTTTCATTTTCTTTTCTTCAGCAGATTCAGCTCTTTCTCATTACTGCTGTTATCAAAGGCCAGGCTGCATGGGGCTTTGATTAACCTGGTCTAGTGGGTGAGGATCACTGTCATAGAACCATAGAACCCTCCTGACTATTAAGGCCTCTTCCAACCCAAACCACTCTATGATTCCTTGATGTATATATTTTTAGCTCATGTTGGTTTTCTGATGATCAGAAATGTTGTCCATTACAAGAAGCTGACATGGTGATTAGGGCAGTTAGAAGTGACACTTAATGAACTAAACATCTCACTGAAACTAAAAATAGTGGTATTTCTTTAATTGTTGCATACTGATGAAGTGTGCCAGTCTTTTAACACCACTTCCCACAGAAACTCTTTCCCCCTCTAGAAAAGATAAATTGTGTGGCAAACTCTGGAGTGTGCACAGGCTTGTTGATAAGAAGGGTGAAAGCATTCATTTAAATATGAAGGCTGTTTTGTTGCTCTGCCTCTTCTAAGCCTCATCATGTTAAAAATGTTCATACTTCTGTTTTGAAAAAATATCTTCCATGATTGTATAGTACTTTCCTCTACCAGTATTGTGAAGTGGTATAAGAGAAGATCTTTAAAGAAGTTAGTGGACTATCTGAGTCTCAGCTCCATGTGCCAAATCACATTATGGCAAGAAAATTGGTGTTTGGGGTATTTTTAAATTTGGCAGCTCAAATTTTCTACTTGGGAGTCCAAGTGCTGAAATAGAAAACTGTAAGAATGTATTTCTGACCTTCTGGTCATATTCTTCAATTACTGAGTCAAGTAAATTGTTATAAGTATAAAGTACAAATTAAAAATACAAACTAATGTCCTCCAAAGTAAACTAACAGTGTAATTTAGAGGAATTAATTTGGTGGAGCGCTCTGGGAAAGTGAAGGGATTGTACACATCCACTTACTGCTTTTAGTCTTTGGACCTTAAAAAAAATTAATCTCTAATTTTTTCCCCTTTTATCTCACTTTGACCATGCAAATTGTGGTGTCTGGGTTTATAAAAGTGCTTACTTATTAAAGACACTTCTGAAAGTGTCCCTTCAACACTGAGTTGTGACTCATGTACTTCAGTGGTGTTCTGCTGCTCCTCTGTAATCTCTGAGCACTATTTATGTGTCTTCACGGCTTGTAGCACTTTGAAATTTCACTTGTCAGATGTATCTGTTGGGTTATTCAATTAACTTCTGCTTCTGTGAGGTTGGAGCCTGCCACTGGAGTGAATCCATTCATGCTGCACTGACTGGTGCAGCTGTCTGTGATAGGTCCTTTATCAGGATGAACTGCTCTCTTCAACTAAAAATGCCCTGTGACAATCAGCATTAATACAGATATGGGATATCTTCTTGCCTTAAACACAGATAAATGGCCTTTACTGCATGTCTCCTTTTCTACTGTTAGGTGATCAATATTGAATGTGAACAGATATCCAAAGGAAAAAAACCTAGTTTTGCAAATGTGAGTTCCCTGTCTTCCCTTTCTCCTTATTATTTCCATATCTTGTATCAGTGTCACACAATTTTTTAATCTTTTCTAGCGACCCTTTCTTATATCTGTGCCTACAGCTTCTTGTATCAGTGTCACACAATTTTTTAATCTTTTCTAGCGACTCTTTCTTATATCTGTGCCTACAGCTCAATGCATTTGTTCTTTGGCTCCTTCCTTCCTTCCTGTATTGAGTGTAGTAATTGCACCAATTCTTTTTCCAGCCCTTTTGTAATACCCTCTTCTGAGTAACCTGACATAAATCTTTTCTATAAGGTTTACAGTTCTCCTCTCTTCCGCTGGGTATTTAAGTCATCTGGGTCTAGTGCTTTGTTGTCTTTCAGGAGTTCTAATTGCCCTCTTATCTTTTTTATGATGAGGGTAAAGCTTTTCAACCATTCACTCCCCCAAGCCTAAGAAAACCAGTCCCTAGGATGCTTTCTTCTTTCTTTTTGTGTGGACTGTCAATAAAAAAAAAGTACATCTGCAACATATTGACCATCTATCACTAGTTTCCTTCTTTGATCAGCTAGTGTTCCTCCTGTGTAATTTCTTTTTATGTTGATGGCATGTTTTTGTTTTTTTGGGGTTTTTTTGGGTTTTTTTGGTTTGGTTTAAGGGTTTTGTTTTGTTTTGGTTTGGTTTTTTTGTTTTGTTTGCTTGCTTGGTTGGGTTTTTTGTGTTTGTTTTGGTTTTTTGTTTTGTTTTGTTTTGTTTTGTTTTGTTTTGTTTTGTTTTGTTTTGTTTCTGAGTCATTCTTCGATTTAGGAACTGCCTTAATTAACTATATGTCATAATTACTTTGGTTTCATCCCATATGACTTATTCATTTCTTCTCTGGGAAACATGAATTTCTGACAACTCACTCCCTTTCTCCCTTGTTGATTCTGCTTTTTTCCCCCCAGAATTC